GCGCACTTAACCGCTTGCGCCACCAGGCCGGCCCCTCACATATTTTTTAACAGTCTCAATTGGAGAGAGCGTCGTGGGAGGCCAGGAAATTCAACTGTGCGATTAGTTAAAATTATATAGTTTGAAATCACGTGAACATACGTTTGCTTTAGTGGGCACCTTTAGGTATGTGAAAACTAGTGTAAATAATCTTAGAAACATTCTAACCCAAAGGTGAAGTCAGCTAACCATGGTGGTCATATCAGAAAGTGAAATGCATGACCCAACTTACTCCTCAAGCGTGCACAGACCATGCTTTTGTCCCACACCTCCTCACAGGCTCTGCCTGACGAATCTCTGCTAAGATCTGTGGGTGAGTCCCTGTACTGGGGGCCTGGGAACGTGATGGTGACTGAGAGAGACACAGTGTGGCTTCCCCGCAGAATGCAGCCATGCTGGGGAAAGGCTCGTTGTTGATTCAGTCAACAAACCTTCACTGAGCACTAGTATTAGGGCCTGAAGCCCTGGCTTCTTGGTAACGACACTGGGAAGCAAGCACTTCCATCCTTACTTTACAGACGAGGAAGCTGGGTCAGGGGAGCACAAATGGCTTGTTCCAGGTCAGGTATGTGCTCTAGCGAGTGGCAGGGTCCAGCACTCCCCAACTCTAGCACAGCGGCAATTCAATGGGCTGCCGACATCTCTGGAGGGCTCCGTCCGTTCTAATCAAGGATAATCACTTTACTCTGCAAGATGAACACTGCCACAGGTGTGACAACGCTCCAGGGACGGTGAGACACTGATATCCTGCCACTTTGCGCTTACGCAGTGCTTCCAACTTTCTCATGCAACCCTCTCAGCTGATCACCCCTGCAGATTTGGCCTCCTACAAGTTTCTGGTGCAAGAGGTGCACTGCTAGGCTGTCTGCAGCGGGGGAGGAGGCGAGTGAAACGACTGGCTCCCTCTGCTCTTCCTCACCCTGCCAGAAACCAATCTCCTTTTAAAAATACACTACAAATAACAGCTGTAAGTGAATTCTTCTTCCTGCTGCTGTCCTCAGGCTTAGGATACCTTAAACCAAGGGTTAGACAATCCACACTCTGTCCATGTGTACAGGCAACACATGGACAAAATAAAATGTCACACAAACATTTTGTCATTAGTGTATTAAAATTGGAGTCTCATTAAAAGGAAATTCAACCCAAGACTGGATTAGAGAAAACATGCCCATCACAGAAGATCCTCGTATGGCCTGTGACTGCAAAGCCAGGACATGACGTAGAAATTCTGGCAGGGCATTGCTGTGAATTTCCAGTGCACCTGCGCCCACTACGCCCAACCGGGAAGAGCTGTGTGAGTCTGTGTTTCTCTTGGACCCCTTCTCTTCTGCTAGCCAAGAAGGAAACGAAATGAAAGATCCAAAGTCAAAGCTTCCCTGGATTACCTGACCCTGGATCAGAAAATTTCCTAGGGAATGAAGTTGGCTTTGAGTTCCTCTGAGATGGAGCTTGACTCACGCCGATTAGTGCATAAAGGCAAGTCTCCAAACCACCCCCTCTCCTATAGACTGAACATAATAACCAAGGCAAAAAGCTGCTGCTTTAGACCACTCGAACAATTAAGATTGTTTGTTTCTACTCTATTTCTTTTTTTAAACATCTTTTTTGTTTGTAAATATAACACACACCAATTTTTTAAAAATTCAAAACACCAAAGAGCATAGAGTCAAAAATCCCACCATCCACAGACAACCCACAGTTGTTGGGTTGTTTAACCCACAGTTAAACATTTCTATGAACACCCTCTTTGATATGTCCCTCTGCATATGCAGTGTTTCTGCAAATACAATTTGACATAAACAGGAAGACACTCCGCATGCTGCAGATCACCTGTTTTCCTTTTCACTCAGGGCTGTGAACATCTCATCTCCGATGCAGATATGTGCACACTGAATGAACTATAATTTAATTAACCAGGCCCATTTCAGTAGTCATTTAGATGGTTTCTATTCTTTCCTTATAAAGAACTCTGCAAGTAACATCACTTTATAAACAGATAGCTTTTATTCCCTTCTGAAATGATCTCTTTAGACTAAATTCCTAGAAGTGGGATTTCTGGTCCAAGAGTAGGATTATTTTGATACATATTGCCCACACTCTCCTCCAGAAATACTGTAGCAGTTCATACTGCTATTAACAATGCCCATCAGTTTCATCTCCTCTTGCTTGTGTTAAATTTTAACAATATTTTTGGGTTTTGAGAATTCCTACGTAAAGTAAGAACAAATCTGAACTTAAATGGATTTTAGTTATTTTACCTTCCAATGTAAAAATTTCAAAGCCTGAAACTGTCCCAATAACATTTCACATGGATTTCTATAGCAGCCTCCTAATGGGCAGCTGTCTCCAGTCCCATTTCTCCCACCCATAGCAACCCACTCTCTACATTGCCCCAAGAAAAACATATATTTTACCTATCACTAAAATCCTTCAATGACGCCTTGTTGCCTTTAAGATAAAACCGAAACTTATCAGAATGGTATAAAAAGGTCCTCATGGTCTGGCTCCTGATCTACCTCTCCACCTGCATTCTATAGTCTAGCCACACCCAAATGCTCGCAATACCCCCTACCCAAATGCCAAACCCTGCCCCACATCCCCCAAACATCCACGCACCCTCCTTCTAAGACTCAATAACTTGGCTCCACAGTCATCACTTCTGGGGAGCTTCCCCGGGACCATCTTTTTCCCTCTCTGAAATAAATGAACCACTCCTCTCCACTGCACTTCCTTAGCATCCTGTATTACAGTCCTTACTACAGGGAATGCTACTGGATATGTACTTAGTTAGCAGCTCTCTCTAGTAAGCCTTCAGGCTCTTGAGAGTGTGTTTCATTTACTTCAAGTCATAGGACAAGGCTTGGCCCAGACTAGTTACTAACAACAATTTGCTGAATCGAATTCTCACAAGTACCTAATGACAATGGTACTATCAATTTCTTTTCATGCATTACATGGCCTTAAATGGCTCCTCGATACAAGGGGCTTAAAGGGTTACTCTGCTATACTCTCTGCATTGTCCCAAACTAGTGTCTGGTTAAGTCGGAGAATGTAAAGCAACCCTGGCAGAGACTGCTCACTGTCTCCCAGTATCCCTTTCTTCCTTCCTTTCTTTCAGGACCACAACTCTGAGCTCCAGCTGGGCATGTGGCCACCCAGCCAGAGACCAGATTTTCCAGGATCCTTGGCATCTAGGAGCAGCCACACATCTAAGTTGCCCAAGTGATGTGGGCCTTAGTGATAGGTGCAGTTTCTGGGTCTCATCTTTCTTTTTTTTTTTTTGCAGAGGAAAATTAGCCCTGAGCTAATACCTGTGCCAATCTTCCTCTATTTTGTATGTGGGTCGCCACCACAGCATGGCTGCCAACGAGTGGTATAGGTCCGTGCCCGGGGAACTGACCCTGGGCCACTGAAGGGGAGTGTGCCCAACTTAACCACTAGGCCATGGGGCAGGCCCCCTGGGTCTCATCTGTCAAGTGGTCTGGCATGCCCACCTCTTTCCCAATTCCCACAGGCTAGACCACAGTCATGGTCATGGGGAGCTGGCATCACCATATAGAAGACAGACAATATTCTAGGGGCTGGTATAGGATAGGAGTAAGACAGGAGGAATTTGGGTCCCTAGATGATGTCATGGGGCAAAGCACACCTCCTTGGACCATCTACCTCTGGATTCTTACATGAGGGGTAAGGAGGGAGAATGGGAGAGAGGGAGAGGGGGAGGGAGGAGAGAACTCATGGCTTATTTAACCTACTGTATTTTTGGATCTTTCTATCATAACAATTTAGTCTATCCCTTAACAAATTTAGCAGCCATCAGAAAGGACGTATCGAAGATGGTTTTAAAGGTTCTGGGTCATGCTGAAATCCTGGGAGCTCTCTTGTAGGCACGTCTGCGTGCAACATTTACCACATCATCCATTTAGCAGATGCTCGTTCAGCACTGGCTGTGCTCCAGGCACCATGTCACCTGCTCAGCAGGGCCCAGTACTGATGGAGTCCCTGCCTTCACAGCACTTACATTACAGTTAGGCTTTAGGGGAGTGGGAAGAGAAAGAGACAAGGGTTTAGATGGCTAAGACTCTCAGGGGTAACTGGGAGTGGAGGGCTGAAAGGGTGGTGAGGGAGGCCTCTAGGAGGAGGTGAGATTTGAGCTGAGATCTTGTGGAATGGTGCAGGGTGGGGTTCCAGGAAGAGGGGAGAGCAAGCACAAGGTACTACAGCAGGACAAGGCTCGGCCTGGTTGTGCAGCAGAAAGCAACAGTGGCTGGAGTGCTGGGAAATCATGGCAGTGGGGCACGAGGGAGGAGAGGTGTGCAAAGCCAAGGGCCTTAAAAGCCAGGGGAGGGAGTTTGGATCTTGGTCTACGAGAGAGGAGACACCATTAGAATGGTCTACGCAATGGAGTGACACAAAGTGATTCACGCTATAAATGGACCCCTCTCGCTGCTGCAACGAGCTTGTACTGGAAAGGGGCAAGGATGGGACAGCAGTCGGGACGCTTCAGGCAGATGCTGGTACTAGGACCACGGAGGCAGCAGTGCAGAAGTGGACTATATTCTGAATAGAGCATTGTCAGGATGGGGAGAGGTATGACTCAAGGAAGACTCCTAGGTTTGTGGCTAGAAAAAACTGGTGGGTAACTGGAGTCTTATTCTGAGATGGAGATGAGGAGAGGAACAGGTAGGGAGGGACAGAGAAGCTGTGGGGACTTTTCTGGTGAGCATCTGATGTTTGCGCTCAAATGACACCAACTCTCACCATCCCAATTCCCTTCTGGAAATAAGCAGGTATGTGATGGCAGCATTAAGTTTGGCAGTAACATGGTAAACAAAATATATGGTGTTCACACTGAACTCATATCGATGCTCACGCCTTTAAAGGGTTTACTAATGGAAAGAAAGAACCTTAAAATGCCCTAGGGGAGGGCAATGGAAGGGAGGGAAAGCCCACATATACGATTGTTTGTTTTCTAGACTGAGGTTCCACTTATGACTTTGGTTAAAAAAAGAAAAAAAAAAAAAGAGTGGGTTAGAAACGAAGCTTGAAAACCACTGAAAAGTAAAAAGGTCTATTTGTTGAGTCCTGAGCCCGGTGGGGTGCTGGGTGCTATGACAGAGATCAAAGCCAGTCTCTGCCCGCTGAGAGTTCATAGCCCAGAGGAGACACAGATAAGAAGTGAGGGTCACATGTGAGAGTCTGGTCCCCACACCTGCACAATGGGGATAACAGCCCCTACATCTACCTCGCGGATGTGCAGTGAGGCTTGACAGAGATAAGGTGTGAGGAAATGCTTCCTGAAACTGGGAGGTGCCACCCAATTGTTAACTGGAATTGCTACCTTCCCTCTGAAGTCCCAAGAGAAATTTTTGTGGGCTAGCATATGGAATTTTATTTCTTTCAATTTTAGTTTCAAACAAATACATATAGAGAAAATTTAGAATACAACCATTTCATTCAGAAAATTACAATGCTATCTAGAAAGTTTATATGATAGCATATCTCAAAATATTATCTTTTTTTTTTTTTTTTTTGTGAGGAGGTCAGCCCTGTGCTAACATCCGCCAATCCTCCTCTTTTTTTTTTTGCTGAGGAAGACGGCCCTGGGCTAACATCTGTGCCCATCTTCCTCCACTTTATATGGGACGCCGCCACAGCATGGCTTGCCAAGCAGTGCGTTGGTGCGCACCCGGGATCCGAACCAGCGAACCCCGGGCCGCCGCAGCGGAGCGTGCGCACTTAACCGCTTGCGCCACCAGGCCGGCCCCTCAAAATATTATCTTAGTAACATAAAAGAATCCTTTTAAAGCTGAAAGAATTACTTTGTGTAATAGAGTATACTTTTCCATTAAGAAAAAAGAACTTAAAGAGAAGCAAATTAAAAGTTAGTGAAAAAAAAAATAGTGAAAGTTGATGTGTATATTCCTAACATTTCAAAATATTTTAACAATTGTATAGAAGAAAAACAGTCTGTTAAGGATAAAGTCATGATAGGAAGGAAGTATTTCTATACAGGGTATCACAAGATACTTACAGCTGATAAGGCCAAGATTTGTTGTTTAATTGTTTCTTCATCATTACTATCAACCCATGGGGGCACTGCTGCTTCTAAAAGGTTTTCAATGGCAAAGAAGAAAAGAGAAAAACAGGTCACAAGGGTTACACTGCAATCCGTGGTTTGAAAGAAATGAGAAAGTTTCCACACAGCTATTTTAGCAATTTACTAAGAAGTTCCAAATATGAACATTCATCGTTAATTCCCAGACTTAATGTATGAATCTCATGCATATATGCATTTGGTAAAAAATTACTCTACTTGAATTATACAGTGGAGAAACTGGACAACACCTTGACCAGGTGACCAAAATCAATATCACCAGTGAAGGAGAGACGGCCACTGTGGGCCTCCAGATGTGATACCTGAGAAGGACATGACATCATCTTTGCAGTATTCTGGCAAGAATGCATAATCTGAATCTAATCACGAGGAAATATCAGACAAAGTCCAAATGAGGAATAGTGTATTTAACAAAACGGGGGGAGGTATTCTTCAAAAATATTAATTGTCATAAAAGACAAAGAAAGGCCATGAAAATGTTCCAGATTAAAGGAGGCTAAGAGACATGACAAAAAATGCAATATTGTACCCTGCTAGATGCTGTATTGAGGAGGAAAATGTAGAAAGGACATTACTGGGTCAATTGACATAATCAGAATATGCATATTATATCAACGTTAAATTTCCTAAAGCTAGTACCTGTATGGTTGGTGATTATGTAAGAGAATATCCCTAATTCTTAGGAAATACACATTGAATGGAACAGGAAGAAAAAAAGCCACACACACACACACACACACACACACACACACACACACACAGAGTGAGAAAGCAAGTGCAAATGATTAGCCAAATGGAATACAACTTCAATAATCTAGGTAGAGGGCCTACAGGTATTCTCTGTACTACTTTTATTCTTGCAACTTTTCTGTAAATTGAAATTACTTCCAAATAAAAAGTTTTTATAAAAAGTTACTGTACTTGATTCAGGACAAAAGGTGATAAGGAGGCTGCAAGATATGCAATTAGGAATTGAGAAGAGGGTTGTCAGGAGTGAAAGCAAACGAAGAAAGAAATGGGCAAATCAGAGGCAATCAGCAATAGGCTGGAATCAAATCCTCAATGAACCTTTAGAAGCTAAATGTCAGAATACCAAGACAACAAACAACTGAGCCCGTATCTTCTGGGCTCACAAGAAAAAGAGATGATTACAACTCAGCAGGATTCTCATGCCAGGCGACAGATGGCAACCACCTGGAGAGGTGAGTCTCACGGGGTTTTCTGTGGTGACTTGGGAGCCGATCTTAGTCTAGGAGGAGTTCAGTGGTGGGTGTGTGTAGGCGGTGGTCAGAGGGAGCGGCAAGTGTAAGAGTGGAGACCAAACCAACCAGCTCGTCTGAGCAGCTCTACCGTGTGAGCCTGGAGCAGGCAAGAGGGCAGAGCAAGGCTGTGGAGGTGGGCGGTCAGCACGGAAGATACATATGCGGAGGGTCTGAATATTTTTGCAGAAATAATCCCTTTTTCTATTATGCTGCAAAAGTCAAGTAGAAGAGACATCTATTGTGTACCAATTGATAGAAAAGTTATGTGCATGTATGGATGGACACATGGACAGACAGACAGACAAGATACCTGGTTCATTCATCCTAAGCAAGCAAATAGTGGCAATTATAATCCAAATTCTGTTAATTATAAACAAATTTTCATACTTTTTAAAAATTAGGGTAAAGCCCCTTCAAAATTTTTTTTCTCACGCCATTTCCATAACTTAAAATGGAGATTTTAAGTCTATTCACCTTGGGCAGCCTCTCCTAGTTCTACTTATCCTCAGATAATGAGGTCCTCCCATGGCCCAAGCTTCTGGTATGGCTGGGACACCCCCACCTCCCCGGTCCTCTGAAACTGCTCTCTTTAGAGTGACCAACAACCTCCTGGTTGTCCAACTCCACGGACACTTCTTAGTTCTTTTCTCTCTAGGTCAGTTTCCTTATCTGGAAAATGGAGATAAAGTAAGTACTTCAAAGAGTTACTGTGACTGTTAAGGGAACAAATACATGTGGAACATTTACACAGTGCCCTTCCTCATGGTCACTGGATATGGACCTCTCAGCTGACCTCGCTCTCCTTGAAATTCTCCCCCCTCTCTGGGCTCCCATTGCCTCTCACTCCTAGCTGTTCTCTCTCTTGGGCAAACGGGCACTGGTTTTGATGGCAGATTTGTTTCATCATTTATCAGCAGAGTGACCGTCAGCAAATTACTTAACCTTGCTGATCCTTCCTTTTAGTCAAGGAGATGCTATATATAAAGTGCCTGCCACTTAGCAAGCACTCAGAAACTGTCACTTCCTTCCGTTCCTCCCTTCCCCTCAACACTGTAGCTCTCTGCTCCGCTCTCTTAATGCCTGACACACTTTTCTTTGAGGAGCTCACCTACTCTCACGGTTTTTACATGACTTGACTGATAATCTATATCAGTAGATGGAATTCTCTTCCTGCTTCAAACAGGAATAAACTACTGCTGGACCCCGTTCAATAAATTTAGAGCAGTGCTGACCAACAGAACGTTCTGCAATGATGGAAGTGTTCTATATCTGCATTGTCCAATATGGAAGCCACTAGCCCCACGTGGTTATGGGGCACCTGAAATGTGACTAGTGCTACTGAGTAACGCAATTTTCCCGATATGCCACCTGCGTTCCCTTCCCTGCCTCTGTATGTGTTCCTCTCACCTGGTTGTCTAATGGGCACCTCAAAACGGAAATTGCCTCTAATTCTTCACCCCCAGTCCCTCACAGTTCCCATCTTGGAGGCACCAACCAGCTCCAACACCAAGTCTTCAAGCCACGATCAATTTTACTGTTTCCCATGAATCACTAAGTTATGCTAGTTTGTATAGTTTATTTGTCCCAAAGAGCTGCTTCATACTTTTGAGTTTACCTAGGGGTGACAATGCCTGACGGGAACTCGCCACAAGACTAACTAGTTCTTTCTGAATTTGTGGCACTGCTCAAACCAATTGAATTATTTTGCGCTTTTGCCAAATTCAAAGACATGAGGCCAGTTTTGTGTTTGAACCCCACCAAACAGTACAAATAGGCATTTTGAGACCTTATAACATTTAAACAAACATTTGTCAGTAAGAAAAAGTATTAAGTTCCCTAAACACGCCATGACTTTTCAGGGCCCTCTGTCACTCCCCTGGAAAGCTCTTTTGTTTTTTTCTCCTGAAGAGAATGGGAAGGGAGCCAACATCTGCTAAGTGCCTATTATGTGTACACCATATGCTGTGCTGGACATGTTATAAGGTGAGAAATGAAAGCTTCCTCTCTCTCTTTCAGAGCCAGCTCCCCAGAGGGCCGTCACTGGCTGACCTCACCCACCATCCTAGCCACAGGGAATGATTTCCTTCCTTCCTTCCAACCCCGAAGGTTGTGAGTTTGTCTCCCCTCCTAGCCTTTGCGCTACCTGAAGGCTGGGGACTGTTACTGACACATGTTTGTGTTCTCAGAGCCTTAGCGTGCTGTCTGACATATAACAGGTGCTGGATAAAATTTGGCAGGTAAGTCAGTGGTGTACAACAAACCTATACCATACCTGATTTTTTTGTATGCTGCTCCTCAACAAATTTTTTCTGTTCCTTCTGAAAATCTCCTATAATTGTCTGTTAAAAAATGCACAAAGAGTCAAATTACTTTGAAAATTTTATTACTAGATAAGAATTATATTCAAGATTTGTGAAGTCTATCTGAGACATTTTATTTATTTTCTTCAAATAAAAAAGGCTAAAAAAGTGACATTTCCTTCTTTCCCCAACAAAAGGAGAAATTCAACTTTTTTTTTTTTTTTTTGGTGAGGAAGATTGGCCCTGGGCTAACATCCATGCCCAGCTTCCTCGACTTTATATGGGACGCCTGCCACAGCATGACTTGATAAGCAGTGAGTAAGTCCACACCCAGGATCCGAACCTGTAAATCCCAGGCCGCTGAAGCAGAGCGTGAACTTAACCCTTACGCCACCAGGCTGGCCCCAGAAATTCAACACTTTTGAATTTTAAGTATACAACCCCCTTTATGATAGATTATCTTTTCAAATGCAAAAATAAAATGAGTTAGAAACTGAACTTTTGTATTATTCCAAAAAACAATAAAAGCCAGGTCAAATCTCATCTAACAAATAGTACACACAATACCTAAATAACAAGCTATCTAAAGTGTAATTGGTGACCTCCTTAGTTCAAATAATTACCAGCATAAACGAAATTCCCTAGGCCTGCACCCTACCACTGCAAAAAATAAACAAACTCACTCCCTAGAGTCTTAAAAGGGTTGTTCCTAATGGGCTAGGACTTTAAAAACTTAACTGAGTGATGCAAAGGCATAAATATATTTGGAAATAGCTACAGTTTAAAATTAAACTCACAATATGAAAACTTTAGTATTACCCAAAAGTATCAAGGTATTTTAGAATATATTAAAATTAAAACCAAAGTTATTTACAACAAGTAACTTATATCATATTTTCTTGTTATATAAAAAGAGAGAAAAAAACCAAGAATCTCAACAATTAATATTAGAATATGATATCCTACTTGGGTTAATAAAGTTCATAAGAAAAGGCATGATTATATTGGCTGCTAATGAATTTCATAAATTTTGACTTCCAAAAGATATTTAAATGTACCTTATCAATGATGTCATCTATCTTTCCTTCTTCTACTGATTTCTTTATCGTCTGTGCTGTTTCAGCAACTGATTCAGTTATCTTTTTTGTAGCAGCAGTTGCAAAGTTAAATAGATAGTCTGTAAAGAATAAAAAAGAGACGATGCTCCATTCAAGTACAATGGTTATTATATTGGTGATTTTTCCCTTCAAGAGCTCTTATAAGAATCTTAAACCATAGGGCATGTTTCTTGTTAATTAGGAGTTGCAACAAGGAATGAAAAGCACTGACAGTCCCCCACTGTCCCGGTGGACTGGCCATCCATCCTGGGCCTTTAATCCATCTCTTTCAAAGACCATTAGCATACTCCCCAGTTCACCCCAGTAGCTGTTTCAAACTTGTCTTGCTCTTCTCCAGTCTCTAGTTCTAACCTGTCTCAGTAAATAATCTCCCCTCCAACTTTACAAATAAGATCAAGGCTCCTTTTTACTTTCTTTCCTCATTTTCTCCTTCTTCCCTCCTATTCAAAGAAAAAATGTCCCTCCTTTCCTAGATTAACCCATCCCATGATAAATCTGGGGGAATTTTTAATAAACAAAAATTTTGGCAAGCCCTAATATAAATATAAATCCTTCTTAACTAATAATAATGAGCAAATATGTAGAACAAAATTAAAACTGGAACACACAAACTTTCACCTTTACAAAACAAAACACAAAACTAACTCTCCTGAAGACCTGAAAAGACATATATATCAAGGCTCTATTGCACTATAATATAAAGGCCTGTATGTAGACAAATATCATTTCAAAGTGCACACTGTACACAATCTGCCGCAGGAAGTGACCTCAGGCAGGTCCTGAAGCTGGACCTCTTGGGGGATGCTCCAGGGCAAGTGGCCTTTGAATCTCATCTCACAGGAAATACTCGGTAAGGCAGGGTGGTCTTGCCTCTGCTATTTGCACCTGCTGACAGGGCAGGTGGGTTGACTCACAATATTAAGGCAGGGAGAAAACCCCAATAAGAATGGCAAAGGGAGCTTGGCACACCTGATTAAATAAATCCTCACTCTGTCAGTGGTATCACTTCCAGAGAATCAGGCAACTTGTCTGGCTATCTGGGAGCAGCAGTACTATCTCCCGACTTGTCTGGCTATCTGGGAGCAGCAGTACTACCTCCCGATCTGAATGACCATCTCTCCACTTCCTACATCATTTACCATTAAACAGTCTACTTTCTCCCGCTGTGCCTGGTGGTATTCATCTGTCAATGACATCAACACCCCACTGTGACTATACTACAGGACACTCTTGTCTCTGGTCTCATTCTTGCCATTCTCCCCTCTCCTATTCTACATTGATATGACCACAAGAAATTCCTGAGTATCTCCAAGAGGCCTCAAATGTTCCTCCTTGGTTTGATCCACTTTTATCTGCCCTCCCTTTACCTGGCTAACTCTACACATTCTGTGGGTCTCCACTAACATATCACTTCTCAGGAAATGTTCCCCAGCTCCTTGACTGGAGTAGGCACCCCTGAGATGTGTTCTCTCAGCACCTGTGTTGCCCAATCAACAATATTCATGACACTATCGATGACTCTGTGAGTCTGTCTTCGTATCCCCAGTGAGTGACCAGTAAGTACTTGCTGAATGGATGAATGAGGAATGACATGAGTGCTGAGCTTTAGGGAGATCCTTCATTTCTCTTCGTTATGACTAGTCTATTTACCCAAAGTGGTATGATAAAATGGGCAGACAGCCATACTCCTTTGTAAAAATATTCTTTGCAGATAGACAAAGAAATCTAAAGGTCCAAAAGCGCAGGATTCTCTTTAAGGTTTTCTCGGAATACGTTTTGAATTAGAATCATCATTTTTATTTTTTTTTAATATTTATTTATTTATTTTGTGTGTGTGTGTGTGTGTGTGTGTGTGTGTGTGTGTGTGTCAGAGGAAGATCAGCCCTGAGCTAACATCCATGCCAATCCTCCTCTTTTTGCTGAGGAAGACTGGCCCTGAGCTAACATCTGTGCCCATCTTCCTCCACTTTATGTGGGACACCGCCTCAGCATGGCCGGACAAGTGGTGCGTTGGTGCGCGCCTGGGACGTGAACCCGGGCCGCCAGCAGCGGAGCGTGCACACTTAACCGCTATGCCACGGGGCCAGCCCCCTCATCATTTTTATTCTAAGGGAGGGCTGTAATTTAAAAACTGGTATTTTAGCATAATAATTTCAATTCTCAGATTTTCATGACTCCATGGGTAGAGTACACTGAATACAGTGAACATCAGAGAAAGCACAGTTCTCAGCCTCAAGGAATGTCCATTTCTAAACAAACAAACAAAAAACTCAAAGACAATAAGAGAAGCAAGATTATTCATTAAACAGAGGCACTCAGAGAAGGGAGGAGGTCTTCCCAGAGTAACTGGAGAGTGGCCTGGAGTCTGAAGGCAGAGGGAGTGGGAAGTGGGAGAGCACAACAGGAGATTTTCAGGTAAGAAGCTCACAGAGACGAGAAGTAAGGTTTATTAATTTTGCAGAGATCAGCTGACACCAAGTTAAAGACAGTTTTTACTAAGTGGTTAGAAAAAATTGAGACTGAGATAAGAGTTAACAGGAAGTAGTAAAAGGAGTACCAATGTCCACTTCAGGAACTCAGGCACCAAGAGAGGGTCTGAACTGAAGCAGCAACCAAAAAGGAAAGGAAGTCTAAGTAAAACGTCTGTGAGTGAGTACACTCAGCAACTTTGTGGAAGGAGGGGCAGCTCGCCAACATCAGAAGTAGTCATTTTACCTTCATTTTCATTATGTCATTTTAATCTCACAACCATCCTGGGAAGAGTAGGTATAATCTGCCCAGTTTACAGACAGGGAAGCTGAGACTCACAGAGGATAAATGATTCGTCCATTAAGATAGGAGTAGACGCTGCTGACCGCCTAGCCAATAGCCTATCCCCTTCCTCCCTGCCAAAACAACCCCAATTTTGGTGGGTGCTCATCAAACCTGGGGGTGGTCTTGGGGACGTCGGACACAAACAATCAACGTCTTCTTGTTAAGCCTCTGTTTCACAGACTTTTTTCTGTAATTTGCAAATGGTATCACAATAAAGACAACAGTAGTGTAAGGAACTCAGAGGCTATGCTATCTGCCTCTAAATGGCGAGCTCGTGCCCGGATCCCATACTACCTCACATCACGTGAGCAACTGACAATGGCTTGAGGAACTCAATGGAATGATAAGGGTAAAGTAGGAAGGTTCTCAAAGGTCAGAAAAAGCATAAATTTACCAGAGAAAAGACAGGAAGGTAGAGTTTAAGGCTTGCTGCTAGAATAGGAAAATAATAAGCAGACAGTGGTTTCTAAGGCATATAGAGGCCTTAGAAAATTAATATTCTTATGAAGAGGCTGGTTAATTTTTCCAAAATATTATATTTCATACAATTTTAGAATCTTTGTGTTGGAAGGGACTCTAGAGGTTACCTAATTCAACGTCTTATCCAGGTAACACCACTTCCAGAAATGAGGAGCACGTGACTTCAAAGGGCAGCCAATTATTACTGTTATCCACCTCTAATTAGAAAATCCTTTTCACTTCCCCTGTCATTTACACCTCTCAGACTTAGTCCTGTCCTCTTAAGTAACATAAAATGACTTCTTTTCTACAAAAACACCTTTCAGAATTTTGAGCAATGCCCCTGAGTTTCTTCTTCTTCAAGCTAAAATCTCCAGTTCCTTTTAGTATTGTTCATAAGCCACGGGATCCAGGCTCTTGACCATCTGTGCTGCCCTCCTTGTGGTAAACCTGGGTTTGTCATCAGAACTGAATTGGGTATTTTACTTCTACTCAAAGCAGATATATATCTTCCTATGTACACACTAACTTTTGGAACCCTCTTGGTCATAAACTAAGCAAGTTAGGCATCTAGAACTTGAAATGCACATTCCCTACAGAAAAAGAGGAGGATGGCCTAATTAACACAGTTCCATTGCAAATACTAACAGCACTTTTCATAGGAAAAGGAAGAGGAGGTGGCCATTTTTGCATTCCTGGGCATGGACTGGACTAACAGATAAAGAAAACAGATAAAGCTCTAATTTAGTTGACTTGAACGAAAACCAACCAACCAATCTGTGCTGAATAAGAAGTTACTTTGGGGCATGAGGCCTTCAGGGAGGTAGGGAGGAGCTCTTCAGCGAGTTTCCTTATCAACTGCTCTTCTTCTGAAGGTGATCATAGGAGGTCCTAAGTTTATCAGGAGGGAGGGCCAAAGACAGGAAGGTTTGGTTTTTGGTGAGGGAGTGGAATGTAGGCCTGGGTGTCCACCGCTTGCAAGTGGTGAGTTGCCTAAATTCATAAATAGGTCACCATGAACTAGAAGTATTTAGGCTCCAGTCTTGAAGTTAGGCACTCAACAAATGTTTACACAACAAATGGGACTCCCAAGAGATTCCATGTAGATTTTAAAAGGCTAAATAAAGAAACTAACCTACTCAGTGGGAATCAGGCCCAGAGATATTTAATGTCAGTTTTCAAAACATAAACAGGTCTTTTTAAAGATAACATACCTCTTAGGATCAGTATGTAGAAATAAAAAATATCTGATCATCTCTCTTGTCTTTCTGAAGGCTTGTGTATAAACTAGAAACTTTACATTTTTTTAAAATCACATAAATTTCAGAACCAAAAGAGCTCTCATTTATTCAGAAACTTTGCATTCACAATGTGTGTGTGGGTAGGGAGGGGCGTACTGCCATCTAACCTTAGCCTCCTCAAACACCAGAAGAGTCTGGTGAGGAAAGAAAGAGACGGCAGCATTAAGCTCCAAAGTAGACATCCATATCAAAAACATATTTATTAAAAAATATTCAGAGGTCTTTATTACTAAACACAAACATGAGGTTTCAAGTTGACAATAAAGTCCTCACTAAGCTTTAAGAAGCCACTTTTGACACTCACCTGAAGATAAATGAAGATGATTCTCTATATTCTACGAAATCAAGTAAACACCCATACCCTGCTTTTCCTAATGTGGTCCCACTTTTATCTATCCCAACTATCTAACAGCCTCTTATCTATCCCAACTATCTAACAGCCTCTCTGCTCTAGTCAAATTCATCTCCTGACATCTCTCAAATATTCCAAGCTCATTTCTTCCCAATTTTCTACACAGAAAACAGTCGTTCCCTCTGTAGTGATTTCTCTTGTGCACTGTCTGGGGGCCTTGGGCTGAGATGATGTACTGCCATGATTTGAGATTATGTCTGTTTTCCCTGCCCCTCCACCCCACAGTAAACTTTCTGAATGTCAGAGAATTTCTTATTCAAATATGTGTTTCTCCACTCTTGGGCTCCAACCTCCCTTATGCGCTTGCCTTTTAGTAGATTCTTAAAAAATGCTTGCTGAATTTCATATCTACCTTTGGTGCAATTTTCTCATTTGTAGTGCCGTCCGCTTTAGGGCCCACCTTCTCAAAAACGTTTTCTTTGACTATTTAAGCCCACCAAGGTCTCTCCAGAATCAGAATTACTAGAGCATGTGTTTATTCTTCAAGCCTACTTGTACCCTCCTCCCCAACTAGACTGCAAGCTCAGAAAGAGCATAGGCTTTGAACTTAGACAGACCTGGGCTCAAATTCTACTTCTACCACTTAACTATCAGTATAACTTTGAGCCAGTTTAACTCTGGGCTTGTTCTCCCAACTCACTGGGTGTTTAACAGATGAAATGAGATATCGTTCATAAAACATTTAGTAATGACACTTGCACGGCACAAACAATAATTGGCAGCTACTCTCCTGCCTTAAGGAAAAAAGTCCCATTGCACCTAAAAAGGAGATGAGCCTCATGGAGGCCTTCAGTAACTCCTCCTCAACTCCCTTCGGACAACACATTCTGCCCTAAGGGCAAAAAGGCACTTTTTCAACCAACTCAAGCTGCCCAACGTCCCCTGTCGTGGGGGTGGAGAAGTGTGAAGGTGAAAGTTGGCAAGGTGGACAAAAAGATTCTTTGTCAAACCTAAAGACGTCGGGCCACACCGCTTTACTGTGGCCCTGCTCCCGATGTTTACACACTCTGCAAGGAGTGATATGTTACCAGGAACTTCAGGCACAGGATTTGACTGCTTGATGAAGCTTCAGCCTTGCCCAGATCCTCACCAACCTCTCCGGTTCCGGAGAGGACCGACGGACAGACACATCTTCCACCCCCTCCCCCGATCCCACATCTCCCCATCAGTTGGGCCCACGCCCCAGGGGCGTCAAGAGGAGGGATGCGGGCACTCCCCGACACTCTCTGGTCGCGGGGGCCAGGGGCGACTCACTGCCAAGGCCTTTGGCCTGGTGAAGAAGCTCCTGGTCCCCCGGTTGCTGCGGCGCCGGCTCCGTCACCGTCTCGGAGCGCTGCTCGGGTGGAGCGTCTCCCTCGGGCTGCCCGTCTCCCTCGGACTGCCGGCCACCCGCCGCCGGCTGCTCCAAGCCAAACCAACTGCTCAAACCCCGGAACATCCCGCTCGCGGGGCCGCCACCGCGGTCCGGGTCACCGGAGACCCTAGCAGCTACTGCCTCCTCCCGACTCCACAATGCGTGCGTCCCAAGGAGATAGCCGGAAGTGCGCCTCCAGAGCAGCCCGTCTATCCGTCTCCCCGCCTCTATGGCAACTCTGCCGCCAGCCGCGCGTGCGTCACTTCCCTCCGAAGGCCCCGCCCCCGCTGGCTGTAAGTTTCGGTGCCTTTATTGCGCGCGCGTGGAAAGCGGTCAAAGGGTTTTCCCCACGTAGTCCCGCCCCACCCCGCCCCTTTTGCGCTTTTCCCAGCCTTGTTGGTGACTGACTTAGGCGTGTCAACAGCGTCTTTGTCACTCTAAGCAGCTTGGCTGGTGATTTAGCCTTTCCTTTTCAGGTCCAGCTGGGCCAGCCCCACGGAAGTGGATGTCTTGAGCCTCCTCCTGAGCCCGAATCAAAACTAGCCCGGGCCACTCGGTCCAACTACCAATTTACAGAGGGACTATAGAGGACGGAGGAAAGTGTGAAAGCACACCACGGAATGCAGGCAGCAGAATCTAGGCTGTGAGAAACCACAGGACAAACGACCTTGTTTCTTCAAATAAATTGCAAGGAAGGGGGGAAAGGGGAACCTATACATTAAAAACGATTTAAGAGACATAACCCATGGCAACTTGTGGATTTTATTTAGATCCTAATTCAAACACACATTGGGGGAAAAAAGTATGCCGTTTATAAGAATTGGAAATTAAGAAATCGTTGTTTTAAAAATTTTAATTGTGGGGCCTGCCCTGTGGTGTAGTGGTTAAGTGCGTGCGCTCTGCTGCTGGCGGCCCAGGTTCGGATCCCGGGCGTGCACCGAGGCACCACTTGTCAGGCCATGCTGTGGCGGTGTCCCATATAAAGTGGAGGAAGATGGGCACGGATGTTAGCCCAGGGCCAGTCTTTCTCAGCAAAAAAAGAGGAGGATTGGCATGGATGTTAGCTCAGGGCTGATCTTCCTCAAAGAAAAAAAATTTTTTTAATTGTTCTAGAATACACAAAATTTACCATCTTAACGATTTTTAAGTGTACAGTTCAGTAGTGTTAAGTACATTCACATTGTTGTGCAACCAATCTCCAAAACTCCTTTCATGTTGCAAAACTGAAATTCTGTATCCATTCAACAACTCCCCATTCTCACCTCCTTGCAGCTTCTGACATCCCCGCTACTTTCTAAGTTTGACTACTCCAGGAACCTCATAAATGGAATCATACCATATTTGTCTTTTTGTGACTGGCTTATTTCACATAGCAAATGTCCTCAAGGTTCATTCATGTTGTAGTATGTGTGAGAATTTCCTTAAAATTCTGCCTTAAAAAAGGCTACAGTTAAAAAGGCTGAATAGGGGCCGGCCCCGTGGCATAGCAGTTAAGTGCGTGCGCTCTGCTGCTGGCAGCCCAGGTTCGGATCCCGGGTGCGCACAGACGCACCGCTTGTCAGGCCATGCTGTGGTGGCATTCCATATAAAGTGGAGGAAGATGGGCACAGATGTTAGCCCAGGGCCAGTCTTCCTCAGCAAAAAGATGAGGATTGGCATGGATGTTAGCTCAGGGCTGATCTTTCTCACACATACACAAAAAAAGGCTGAATAATATTCCATTGTATGTATATACCACATTTTGTTTATCCATTCATGTGTTGATGGACATAGGAGTTGTTAATTTTTAAGTGTGGTAATGGTATCGTGTGTGTGTGTTTAAATGAGTTCTTATCTTTTAGAAAGTCAGACTGAGATATTTGCCAGTGAAACGATAGGATGTCTGGCGTTTGCTTCAAATTAATACAGGATGGGGGCAAATAGGTGGGGAGATAGATGAAACAAGCCTGGCCATGCATTGATAATTGTTGAAGCTGGGTGGTTATACTGTTAATGTCTGCTTTTCTATATATTTAACTTTTTTCATAATAACGTAAACAAAGGAACAAAAAATACTGGCCAAGGGGCCAGCCTGGTGGTGTAGTGGTTAAGTTTTCATGCTCCACTTTGGTGGCCCGGGGTTCACAGGTTCAGATCCCAGACGCGGACCTACACACTGCTCATCAAGCCATGCTGTGGCCGCGTCCTACACACAAAATAGAGGAAGATTGGCACAGATGTTAGCTCAGCAACAACCTTCCTCAAGCAAGAAGAGGAAGATTGGCAACAGATGTTAGCTCAGGCCAATCTTCCTCACCAAACAAACAAACAAACAAAAACTGGCTAAGCGACCAACTACCCCTTCAGAGCAGAGAGTTCATGAACATATTTCTCAAGCACAGTCTCAAGCAATCTGTTGGTGAAGGACACCCATTATTTCTCTTCCTCCCACCATTTGGAGAAAAGTAGCCTGGTTCCAGTGACCTGTGTGAGTATATGGGGGATGGATTACAATTCTGATTTCCCTGCTCTCCAGTTTTCCAGCCTGAGGTATATTTACACATCAGGACCAGGACTTTAGCTTAACAAGTCCAACCTGGTTTTTTTTTCCAAACAGCTTTATTGAGATATAATTCACATACCATACAATTCACCTGTTTAAAAGGTACAATTCAATGGTTTTTGGTGTATTATACTATTAATTTTAAAAATTGTGGTAAAATATATACATAAAATTTGCCATTTTAACCATTTTTAAGTGTACAATTCAGTGGCATCGATGGCATTCCAATTTGTTTCTAGAGTCTGGGTATTGATTCAGCTTTGAAAGTCAGGAGATATCTTAGGACCACGCCTTTCTAGGATTTATTAAGTGAGTCAGAACCTGAAAGTGGCCGACACTTTCCAGAAAAAGGATATTTGGTTCAAGTGTGATTGGAATGAGCCTGGAATTTCAGTCAGAAGCCTGGGGCAGGGGTGTGTGTGTGTGTGTGTGTGTGTGTGTGTGTGTATGTGTTCTAACTCCACTATCTAATAGGTGAATAACCTTGATTTGTTTCTCGTCGTTTCTGCCCTTCAAGTTTCTTCATCTACAAAAGGAATATAGGGCTGGCCTTTCCCATAGCAGAGGTGGGGCCAGCCCATTCAGCCTTACTTTTATCTCCAGGACCACCCAAAACCACAGTGAAGGCTGTGTTCCCCAGGGGACAGACAGTTTTATAATCGTTCTGAAAGGTAGAATTCTTCAAAATAAAAGATTATAAAAGAATATGAGCAATCAACCTAATGCTGGACTTCCTTTTCATCTCTTTTTCATCCTCTTAAGGGTCCAGCACAATGCTATGCTGCCAGTAGAAAATGAATAAACACTTGAATGAGGATACACCCTTATCTCACACGAATCAGTTGATATGAACCTTGTTATCAAATTTGTTTTTCTGCTCAAATTTTTTTTCCCATTTTGGATTAATAATACAATAGTTATAATAATCCCTTTGTAGTCACAAAATATCTTTTGTCCATTAGCCTCATAGATGGTAAGGATGAGGCCCTACATCCTGTGGTGAAGAGTCTGGCTTTGGGGACAGACACTTTGCATTGATGTCCTGGCTTTGCTACTCACATTAACCTGTACCTTCGGTCAGGGCACTTCACATCTCTAAGCCTCGGGTTCTTTATTATAAAAAGGGGATCATAATAACTGTCCTGGTTGTAAAAAGGAAATGAAGTACTGAAATGTGGAAGGAAACCTTACATATGTGGCAGGTTATTAGTATTACCATCAAGGTCAACCCATTTCACAAACATCCTTTTCACTGGGCCCTCTGGAAGACTTGTTTCATTAACAAACTCGTCTATGTCTTGAGCCTTTTTAGAAGGTGTTTCCTCGTTTTTAAAAAAATGTACTTATTTATTTATTTTTTGGCTTTTGTAGAGCCTCTGCTCATTTTCCCAGAAGTTGACATCACTACCCCCTGCTCTTTACTGCTTCTTCCACGACACTGCTCAGTGATCCTTGGTGGGGAGAAATTCTTTTGTTTTGAAACTCATTTAATTTTGCCATACAACCCTCTAGCCTACCTTGCTACTGTCATCTACTAGCTTCAGAGTCACTCCTCCACATTCACTGACAACTTGGTTCCTTGGCCTTAATTGACTCCTCCAACTTCTGCCATCCTGCCAGGGCCCTGGATGTACCACACGCTGGCCTGGTGGCTGCTAGACCCAATCCCAGTGATGCACATCTCACTTGACTCCGTTTCAGCGGTCACACCCTAAACCGTATCATCTCCTGGAAGTGCTTCCACACTCCGGTGACAACTCGCCAGTTCCCTCATTCCCATAGGCCCTTGTGTTTGGTCCGTCTCTGTTCTTTCTCCCAGTCTATCAGCTCCTGTTGCTCCCATTGCCTTCCTCTGTGGACTAGACCCCTGGAGCATTACTACAATCACATTCTTTCAGTGCCCTAAACTTCCTCCCTCTCTTGTCCTTCTGCTCTACTCAACCAGCGAGCTCTGGTTTTATCACAAATATCTATATTTATATATCCACCTATAGATATCTTACAAAATTATAGCTGGACATCATTACATTAGAAACTATGGTTTCTAAAGTCGACCAGGTCTTCAATGACACTTGTCTAACTTGGCAGTGTAGTGCCTCATGCTGGTTACTCAAAATTTTCACCACTTTCCTAACCCTTCCATCTCACTCCAAATTCTTCTGTTGTCCATAGTTAGATCCCTTCTCCTTCAGTGGTTTGTGTGTGTTCTTCCCTTCGCCTTAATACCCTCCTGTGTCCTTTCTCAGCACCAACTATCCTCCAAATACTCTTAAAAACTCACTTGATGAAGCCCTATTCGTCCTCCCCCTGCCCCCCGCATTTTTAAAATTGTTTCAACACGTAGTACTGTTCCAGGAACCTTACTGATTCCAGTAGACAGTAGAACTCCTCCCAGACTATGAGCCCCTCAAAGACAGGAATCCCGTCTAATTTTCGTCCCCTCCTGGGCAGTCCTGCAGTTCCCGGGGCGCAGCAGGGGATCCACAAACGTTTGTGACAGAGTGAAGTTCTTTACAGCTGTGAGAACTGGACAGGAGGCCCCAGGCAAGGGGCTCGGCTTGCCGAGGGGCTGGAGCTCGCCGGGAACGCGGCGTTCACTCGCGTCCCCGAAGTGCCTCTGCTAAGTGAGCCACGGAGGGGAGGAGCAGTCCCCGGGCTGAGCGAGGCCTGGGGCCAAGTGCGTCCAGGGCGGAGGGTGACGGGAAGCTGTGCCGGAGGAGTCACTTTTGAGACGCTTGTTTTGGAGCATTGCAGAAACACGGGTGCAAACCCCAAGTTCACCAGCGTGAGTCAGCGGGACCCGCAGGGCAGGAGAGGGAAAGGTGGGCGAGGCGGGCGCCGCGCACCCCGAGGCCCGCCCGGGCGGCGGGGAGGACCGGGTGGTGACTCGGGACACCCCTAGCGGCGGCCCCTTCCCCAGCCCGACAGGTGAGGGCGGGCTGGCCGCGGGTCGGAGTCTGGCGTCCCCATCGGCCACCCTCCCGGCGCCACCGCCACCGCGCAGGTAACTCCCTGGGCCTCGCCGGGACCCCCAGGGCCTCCGCGCCAGGGTCCCCCCGCGTCCCCAGGGCCCCGCACCCCTGCCTGCACCCCCTGCCCCGGCGCGCACGTGTGGCCGGGCGCCTTTGTCCCCTCCCCGATGGCGCCCGCGCGGTGTCCGAGAGGGGCCGGGCGCCGGGCGCTGCCCCGCACCCCGCGCACGCAGATTGCGGGCGGGCGGACGGGCGGGGCGCGGGGGCCGGGGCCGCTCTGCCGGGCCCAGTGCCCGGTGCCCAGTGCCGTCGGAGCCCGTCCTGCGGCGGCCCGCGGCCCGGGGTCGGGAGCGTCGCGTCCCCCGGGGGCGCTTCTCCCCGCCCCCCGCCGCGCCCCCGGCCCCATTTCCCACTGGCCTCGGGAGCCGCAGAGCCCCGAGATGGCGTTGGCGGAAGTGCAGCCCCGAGCCGAGTGAAATCGCCTTTCTGTCCCCTGCCCCGCCCAGTGCACCCGTTCAACAACGACCCTCGCATTTCCTCCATAATAGCTCGTTAGGGCGCCCGGTGCCTAACTAAGCTGCTGCTACAAAATAGCTTTTTCTTTGTAATAATTTTTACACATTCCATGTGTAATTAACATACAATAAAATCCCCGAATTGTAAGTGTGCAGATCGGGGATTTGACAAATTATACACCCGTGTTAACCACTACCCCAACGCAGACATAAACCGTTTCCTTTACTCTAGAAAGTTCCCTCGTGCCGTTTTCCAGTCAATCCACACCCCGCCATTCCCTTGATTTCTATCATAGTTTAGTTTTGCCTGTTCTACAACTTCATAAAATGGGATCATTCAGTAAGTACTCTCTTCGCTTTTGACTAACGTTACTTTTTAAATGGCCGTCTTTGAGAAGCTGTCTCTTGGTGCTTCCGATGTTTTATAGTTGTTCTAGGCCTGCACTGTCCAGTGTGCGAGCCACTCACCACATGTGGCTCTTGAGCACTGAAAATGTTGTGTCTGAATTGAGATGTGCTGTTAAGTAGACACACCTGATTTCGGAAGACTTAGTAAAAAAAAAAGGGGAGGGGCATGTAAAATACCTCACTAATAAATTCTCATATTGATTATGTGTTAAAATGATAGTATTTTGGATACATAGGGTTAAATAAGATATTATTAACTGCATCCGTTTCTTTTTACTTTTTAAATATGGCTACTAGAAAATTAACGATTACACAGGTGTAATGGTTTTATTGGACAGCAGACAGCACAGCCCTACACACTCCTATTTTACAGACAATTGGTTCTGCTCACTGCATGTAAGAGTAAATGAAAACTTCAGTCTTGACACAGGAGAAAACATCCCAATTCAAGGAAGTGGCTTGAAGAGCCTACCTTTTCCTGTAGTTTTAAAACGTTGCTTCAAACTTACTTGTTTGCTTAAAAGAGGTAAAAAAGAGTAGGTATCTCTTTGGTATTCAGTGATATTTTCAAGAAGGACTTTGTAAAATATCTAATGTGCTTAAAAAGGTATCTTATGCTTTTGAAAATATAGAAAACTAATAATTCCCTAAACCCAACCACATAAATATATTAAAATTTAGCATTTTGGTGTACTTTTGACCAGTCTTAATTAAAAAAAAAACATAGTTGAGATAATATTATATTCAATTTTATATCCTGCTCTGTTCATGTAACACAAGCATATCTTATATGAAAAATTCTTAGGCTTTTTGATAACCACATAATGTGACTTCACGTGAATATACTCCAGGTTTCTATGGCATTTTTCGATTTTGCTAACTTTTAAAATGGGAAGTCATTTTAATAGCGCGATAGTGCTTATTTGCCCCTTAATCCCACAGGAAAGGTGAAATCTAGGAGAGCAGGGACCTTGACTTTTTGTTCACCCTCACGTCCCCAGGACCTGGGAACATGTCAAGCATATAATAAACGTTCAATAAACATTTGTGAACTGATTGAATCAGTGAGTAGATGGTTCTGAAAAATGATAACAAATGACTTTCATCTAGCGCTTGGGCACTCTCTTTGTCAATGCCCACACACCTCTGTAAAGCGGGCACTGTTGTTATCTCTATGTACTGCATAGGCAGAGACAATTGAGATCTAGAAAAGTTGAAGAAGTTGCCCAGAGTCATAGCTGTAAATATTAGAGTCAGCATTTGAACCCAGGCTGTCTGACTCCAGAGGAGGGGCACTTATCAAAATAGAAGAAATCAACAGTGGGATGGGTAAGGGATCAAAAGTGAGCTGTGAAGAAATTACCACTCTAAGGACTACCTGGGCCAGTAGGAGTGGAAAGAGATGAATATTCGAAAACATTTTGGATCTATGGGAGGAGCACCATGGGTTTCGACTGAGAATCTTTTAGGCTAAATCTAGCTCAGGGGAGTGGATGGCCAGGTGGGTAGTGAGAGGAACAAGGGCATTGAATGTGATCAACTGTAGTGTGTAGACAAAGGCAGGCCCAGGGACTTAGGGAAGCCATTTGGGATGGGACATGTATACTTTGAATGGGTTCAGTTTACTCGCCCTGACCATGGTAAGCTAGTTTAAATTGAACTCACAGCTCTAAAGTGAAATAACTTTACACCTTTAAGTTCAAATTGTTTCTTTGAAAGTAGAGGAAACTACAAAATCAGAGCAAGCATTGCTTTGACGAGGACAGACAAATAAGATAAATGGGTAGCTGAAATCGTTCCTACCTGATTGCATTTGTGCTTAATTTCCAGGTATTTTAAAAAATTTCGGAATAACAATAGAAAGTGGGATTTACGGTTATTAGCTTATGTTAGTTACTCTCTTTTTTTGCAATTGTAATTTTACGTTAGTGGTCTTACTCAGTTTTCCATTTGCCTGCCACGACTACACAAATATTACTGTTAAGGCCTGTTTTCATGTGCATGGAAGGCTCCTATACATGCTCAAGGGGAAAACAATAGTACTCAAAATAAAGAAGACCAAGTAGCTATTGGGCTTCCTGTCTGCCTCTAAAACAAAAGGGTTTGAATCAGACAGCAGCAAAAAAGTCAAAATTTCCGTATGACATAATATTTTCTTTTCTTTTTTTTCCTGCTTGGATATTCCTGCTTGGTAAAACTGATGAGTAATGAAACAGATTCAGTGTTCAGCGTGCTTAGTTAAGGAGGATACATTTATTATTGTTAATAGTGATGTTAATAGGTAACTTTTAGTTCTTACTATATGTTAATATAGGAGTCGATTTTAATCCCCTCTATACCAGACATCAGCAAACGTTTTCAGTAAAAGGCCAGATAGTAAATATTTCCGGCTTTGCAGGCCAGAAAGTCTCTGTTGTCACAGCTATTCAATTCTGACATTGTAGCCAAAAAGTGGCCAGGGACAATATGCTAATGAATGGGCATGGCTGTGTGCCAATAAAACTTGATTTATGGACACTGAAGTTTGAGTTTCATACAATTTTAATGTGTCATGACATATTCTTCTTTTGATCTTTTTAACATCATTTAAAATGTAAAAAACATTCTTAGCTTGGGACCATACAAAATCAGACAGTGGGCCAGATGTGACCTGTGGGCCTTGGTTTGCTGACCTCTGGTCTATACCTTAGCTCATTTAATCCTCACAAGCACCTATGAGATTTTTTTTTTTTATGGTGGCATATTTGAATATTGATTTTTAAAAAAAAAAAGACTTTACTTTTTAGAGCAATTTTAGGTTCACAGCAAAACTGAGCAGAAATTACTGAGTTCCCATATACTCCGTGCCCCCACACGCACAGCCTTTCCCACTATCAATACTCAGAACCAGAGTGGTACATTTGTTACAACTGATGAATCTGCATCGACACATTGTTATCATCCAAAGTCATAGGTTACATTAGAGTTTGCTCTTGGTGTTGTATGTTCTATGGGTTTGGACAAATGTATATTGACATGTATCCACCATTATAGTATCATACAGAGTAGTTTCCCTGCCCTAAAAATCCTCTGTGCTCTGCCTATTTGTCCCTCCCTTCCCCCGAACTCCTGGCAATCACTGATCCTCTTACTGTCTCCATAGTTTTGCCTTTTCCAGAATGTCACATAGTTGGAGTCATGCAGTATGCAGTCTTTTCAGACTGGCTTCTTTCACTTAGTAACACACATTTAAGGTTCCTCCATGTCTTTTCATAGCTTGATAGCTCATTGCTTTTTAGTGCTGAATAATATTCCAAGGGACTGGTATTTTTTATTCCATTTCACAGATGAAGGAACAGGCACAGAAAGGATTAATAACTTGCCCAGGCACAGCTCGTACAGATCTGTCTGATGCTAGAGACTGATCTCTTAAATATTATACCATGCCTCTGAATCCCAGAGAAATTTGTTTTCTCATGATGAAGTCTGTCACCTGACAGAGTCGAGGTCAATGGAAAATTAGGGTAATGGAGCCTGCCACTTTGCTTGTAGAAAGCAGCCACAGCTTCCTACATATCAACAAATTAAAAACCTAGAAGATAAGACTTTGTTTCTAAAGTTTCAAATATTTAGTTTAGATAGAAAAATGCTGTGTGCTTTTGAAATTCTGGTTTAACACACTCTCTGCTTTACTGGTTTGAGAAAATGTTTCTCTTCCCTGACCCTTCATTTTATTACCTTTCAGATTATATCTGGGTGCTGGCACCCAGCCACTCCTCTGCCAATGAAGTACATCCTGGTCACTGGTGGGGTCATCTCTGGTATTGGTAAAGGGATCATCGCAAGTAGCATTGGGATGATTCTAAAATCATGTGGGCTCCGAGTTACTGCCATCAAAATAGACCCCTATATTAACATCGACGCGGGCACTTTTTCACCTTATGAACACGGTATGAAAGAGAACCACTTCTCCCTTATAAAGCACTGGGTTAAATTGCCGTTCTTTCTGATATTTTGGGTGATTTCTTGAGGATAGAGTTCCAGAAGTAGAGTCACTGGATCCTACTGTTATGAATATGTGAATGTTCTCATGGTCATTGATAACATTTTTTCAGATTGCTGGTGACATTCCACGTTAGTCCAGCTTTTTGGAAAACAGTGTGTGAGGATACCATTTTCATTGTACCTTTTGCAGTACGGATTATGTTTTGTTTTATTGTATCATAAAGGTAATATATTTCTCTTAACCTTTCATTGTTAAGAGAAAAATTCAGACAATATAGAATATATTGACGATTATATTGGCAATATAAAAGGGCATGAAGAAAATAAAAATCATCCATTTCCCACTGCTTGAAGTAACTATTATTAATGTTGACATTTTGATATATATACTAATTATTTTAAAAGGCATTAGCCCTCACATACTTTCTCTTGAAGCTTTTTACGTGCAAGCAGGAAAGTGTATAAATCATAAGTGTACCACTTGATGAAATGAGCATACTGTGTAACCAGCCCCCAGATCAAAAAACAGAAACCCTCCCATGCCCCTTTCAGTCTATCCCCACCTGAAACCACCAGGGTAACTGCTATCCTGTCCTCTAACACCACGGATTAGTTTTGCTTGTTTTTGAACTTTAAGTGAATTGAATCTTACAGTCACCTTATTTTTTAATCTAATTTTTAAAACGTAACATATTTGGATATTTTTATATATTTTATACTCTTAAAGGCTGCACAGAATCTGAACAATAATAAGACAATTTCCAATGGATTGATATTATAAACAATACTGTGATGGAAATCTTTAGAATTTATTTTTTTTAACATAAATGGCTAGGTACAGAATTTCTGATTTGATGGGTAGGTATGTTTTTCAGGCTTTTGAACACATAATGCATATTGCCAAAGTTTTTTAGGTTCACAATCCCTTACCTACAGCTCTGAAATCCAAAAAGTTCTGAAAATTTAAAATTCTTCATAAGTTTGTGCCTATTTCTAGTCTTTATTCCACTAGGAATGTGTTTGATTGTGAGTTGCTTTCGGGGTGTTTTCTAATATATGGAAAGTGTTCTATATTACCTTTCTATGATTGGAAAAATTCCAAATTCCAATTTCCTTCCTGTCTCCAAGAATTTTATGATAAGGCTTGTGGATCTGCAGCAATTTATATCCGCATCAAGAGTGTATACGAAGGTCTGTTTCTTTATACCCTTGCTGAATATTATTCTTTTTAACTTTACTAACCTGACAGTAAGCCAAAAAACGCAAAAAAAAAAGGGTATTTCATCGTTTTCATTTAGATTTGATTTTCGTTTTGTCTGTAGAATGACTTATTCATGTCCGTTGCAGATTGTATTTTGTTTGAAACTATTACCCAACTTCCTTCTCTGGAGTAAATTTCCCCACCCCGTTGACTTTCGACTTCAGCCACGTGGGTGGTTAACCAGTCCTGGTTTGTTTGGAACTTTCCTGGTTTGGAAACTGAAAGTCCCACATCCTGGGAACCCTATTAGTCCTGGGCAGACCGGAGAGGTTGGTCACATTTTTTGGCCATGTGATTTGTTTTGCCCTATAGGATATTAGTGAATATGATATATGCCTTGTTGAAGCAGAAATTTTCAATGCTGCCTGACCCACAGCCCCCACGTAACATGAGTGAGAAATCAATAAATGTTTTGTAAGCCGCTGAGATTTTTAAGGTTGTTTGGTATGCAGCAAAATTGACTAATGCCGTGTATTATGGCAATTTTCCTTTGAATTATTTTCTTATGATTTTAAAGAGTACTTTATGTAAAGTATATTAACCTACATTTATGACATGTATATATTTTTACTCTGAAATATGTCAATACTACCTCTGTTAGTTGCTGATGAATTTCAATTTACCATTTATGTGATTAAATGTGTCAACTGTTTCCCATATGGTTTCTGCCTTTGATGTCACCTTTAGGCTTCTCTGCCCCAGGAATATTTAAATAGTCATCTATATTTTCTTCTAGCACTTTTATAGTTCCCTTTGATTTTACTTTAAAATTGTTAACACATCTGGAATTGAATTTGGTGGGAGGTGAAGATGTAACATAATTTTTTTCTCTAAATTTTTTTCTGATTAGCCAGCTCTTCCTAATGTCATTTATCAAAGAGTTCATCCTTTCTCTACCAACTTGAAATACACCTTTTACATGAGAACATGATGTAATCCATGCAGAAATAGAAGTATAATGATGTACACCTGAAATTTATACAATGTTATAATCCAATGTTACCACAATAAACAAAAATTAAAAAAAAAAAAGAAATACCACCTTTTATTATATGCTAAATTTCTGTCTGTAATTAGGTCTGTCTTTTTGCTCTGTTCTGTTCTGGATCTCTCTGTTTATTCCTGCCTACCATTTTAATAGCTGCAACTTTTTATTATCAAGTAGGACAGGACTGTCCTCATTATTCCTTTTCTTCTTTTTTTTTAACTTCAAAATGTTCGTCATCTTCAAGATTAACTTAAGAATCATTTTGTCAACCTTTACAAGAAATCAAATTGGAGTTTTTTTTTTTTGAGGAAGATTGGCCCTGCACTTAACATCTGTTGCCAATCTTCCTCTTTTTCTTTCTTTCTTTTTTTTCCCCAAAGCCCCAGTACATAGTTGTATATCATAGCTGTAGAGTTGTAGCTCTTCTATGTGAGACACTGCCTTAGCATGGCTTGATGAGCAGTGAGTGGGTCCGTGCTCAGGATCTGAACCAGCAAACCCCGGGCCGCCTCAGTGGAATGTGTGAACTTAACCGCTACGCCACCAGGCCGGCCCCCAAATTGGAGTTTTTGATAGAAATTGCTTTAAATTTATGAATTAATTTGGGGAAGAATTAAACTCTGAAAATATTAACTGGTCCATTCAGGAACTTTATAAGTGGCTTTCATTTTATTCATACCTTCTTTATGTCTCTGAAGTAAGGTTTTTAAATTTTCTTCATATAGATCCTACACATCTCTTTGAAGTTTATTTCTGAGTATTTTATCTACTTTGATTTGTGATGATATCCTTGATTTTTTTTTTTTTTTGAGGAAGATCAGCCCTGAGCTAACATCCATGCTAATCTTTCTTCCTTTTTTTTCCCCAAAGCCCCAGTAGATAGTTGTATGTCATAGTTGCACATCCTTCTAGTTGCTGTATGTGGGACACGGCCTCAGCATGGCCAGAGAAGCGGTGCGTCGGTGTGCGCCCGGGATCCGAACCCAGGCCCCCAGTATCGGAGCATGTGCACTTAACTGCTAAGCCAAGGGGCCGGCCCCTTGAATTTTTTTAAGTCATGTATTAAATTCCTTTATGTAATAGGGACCTTTTTGGATATTTTGGTTTTGTGTGTTGATGTTACCTTGTTCCATATTTATATATATATGTATATGTATTTCAATCTTCATTTAGTCACTGTTATTTGTTATAAGGGTCTTTATTTTTATTTATTTTTTTGTGTATTTTGTTTTGGTAATCACATCTTTTTTTCTTCCAAATTAACTTTAGTGTCACTGTCAGGTTAAAAAAAAAATCTGTTGGAATTTTTATTATGATTACATTAAATCTAAAAAACTATTTTTGAAGACATCTACAGTTTTTCTTTCTCTTCTAGGAACATAATGGGTACATACTTTTAAAATTTAGGAATTTAAATTTCAAGACCTTTGCCATATAGCTGAAGTATTGGCAAACTGGATTTGGCCTGAATTAACTAAAGAGATTTCAGAGATCATCCCTTATTTGTCAGAAATTAAGATGATCAAAGTAAAAAGACTTTTCCGTAGGTTGGTGATTCCCAATTAACATGAGAAAGTGTAATTTGAACCGGAAGTACAAAAATATTGCAATTTCATCAATTTGCTCCTTTGTCCTTAAAGTTAGAGACCTTCTTGACCACACTTAGCTACCTTATAAGGGAGGCATAAATGAGGACATAAAAGGTTTCTGATTAGGTTTGTAAGCTAGTCAAACTTTTTGGTATGAACATCTCACAATAAGAGTAAATGATAGAATTTTCTTAATCAGGGAGAAGTTCAATTCTTACAAGGTGGCTTTAGAACGTTGGACTTCCAATTGATGCCCTCAAGTGAGACTGGAGACCCAGACACATGCCAATAGTCAACGCAAGTGCTCCTCACGTGATTAAGTCTTCATCTAGGTCCTTTTTCACGGTGCTGTTGTGTTATTGCACACACTGTCTTTTCTTGCCTCACTCTTGCCAAGTTGCCCTGTGTGCTAGCTGGGGCCCTGCTTTTCATTTACTGTCTGTTTAATTGTGGCTTTAACCAAGATGAAAATCAATTAAAACTTTCTTATGCCAATTCCGGAGTCCAGGATGCTGATCCTTTGGAGTAAATTGCTATTTATTTTTAAAATTGCCGTTTTTAAAGTCCCTTTTTTAAAATGTGATATATGATGAATTTGGAAAAGCTAAATCTTGAAGACAGAATTTCAGTAAGCATTTAAAAAATACCATAATAGGATACCAGAATTTTTCTGATGCATTTTCATGGCTAGAATTGAATTGTTAAATTTTCCCATCAAAATAAGGAAATGGTGATAGAACATGGCTTATAAATAAGTCTTTTACCAGCTCTTTAATATAACATGCTCATCTTTGATAAACAATCTACTGGAAGCAAATTTGTGATTTTTACATTGCCTTTTTATCCTAGGTGAAGTGTTTGTCTTAAACGACGGTGGAGAAGTTGATTTAGATCTTGGAAATTATGAACGATTCTTGGATATTAATCTTTATAAAGACAACAACATCACCACTGGGAAGATCTATCAGCATGTGATCAATAAAGAGAGGCGTGGCGATTACCTGGGGAAAACAGTACAAGGTATTATATTCCACAAACATTAGGGAGCCCTGTGTGCTGAGCGTCCACACCCTGCTCAACATAGATGTGAACTTCAGGAGGTTTCTGAGCTCTGCAAGTTTTAATCCTTTCAGATCCTTGAGTTCTTTTCCTTTTCCTTTTCCTCAAAGGTGTCAAGTTCATCCTCCATGTTTCTGATTGTATTTTCATCAGTCTTTTTTTTACTAATGTCATTGTTTCCCTTAGTCTATATATTTGTTCTTCTCTCTCTTCAGTTTTTATTTATCAAATCCGTGGAGAACCATTTATTCATCATTTTTACCTGATTGGGGTGCAGATTGGTTTGGGTTTGCCTGTTCTTTGTTTAATTATTTCTTTTTTTTAAAATAATTTTATTTATTTTATTTTTTCCCCCAAAGCCCCAGTAGATAGTTGTGCATCATAGTTTCACATCCTCCTAGTTGCTGTACGTGGGATGAGGCCCCAGCATCGCTGGAGAAGTGGTGCGTCAGTGGGCGCCCGGGATCCGAACCGGGCTGCCAGCAGCGGAGCGCGCGCACTTAACTGCTAAGCCAAGGGGCTGGCCCTAATATTTCTTTTTCTACTTTTTTCTTGTATCTTTGCATGGATAAGGATTACTCCCCTTTGAAGAAGGACAGAGTTGGGGAGGGACTGAGGGATTGAACTGGAGTGGCAGGCAGCATGCTCTGACCCTTTTTTCGCCAACCTTTTCCCGGGGGTTATGATTCTCTTTTGTCTTAGACGGGGGACCGTCGTCGCCCCCCCCCCCCCCCCGCCCCCCATCCCTCTGAAGTCTTGTATTCATATGTTCCTACATGGTAGGGTAAAGGTAGTAATTTCCCATCCCCTTTAAATCACGTTCATGTTGGAACTAGCTGAGAAGTAGACATAGGATTCGGACAGATGGAGACGGAAAGATCAGCTAAGTTATTGCTGAAATTGAACGGTGTGGCTTAGATCTCGGCTACAACTGTGCTTTCTAATAGTTTTCCCCCAAGTGTAGGTTTTGGGAAGACCCGCGGGAGGAGAGTTGCTGCCTCACACCTGCCACATCCCAACGTTGGAGAGAGGGCAAAGCTGCAGACCTGGGTCCTGACCCCTGATCCTTGCTCTGCCCACGTGGAGTCAGAGCCCAGCTAATCCCACCCTCCTGGAAAGGGGCCGGGCTGGGCATGCGCGGGGTGGCCTTCCAAATGCACCAATCAGAGACGACTTCCTCCCGCCTCGAGGGAGCGGCAGGTGCAAGGCAGAGCAGGGGACAGATGCTTCTTTGCCTCAGCTTCCCGGAGGCCAGTGTTCCTGCTTCGTGTGTCACATTAGGTTAGTTGGCTGTACCCAGTTGCCACGCACCTGCAAGGATGTCACCTTTTTGTCTTTTCATCTGAGATCAGCAGCTGCAGGCCTACTTACCACCCAAGGGACCCCTGGGCCTCATGTGCTTGCAGAGATGTCACCTTTTGGCCCCTTTAGCTGACATTAGCAGCCGTAGGCCTCTGGGCAACACGAAGGCATTGTCTACCCCCTCTGAGTGGATACCTCCCCACTGGCTGGTGGGCTGCCCAGGGTCTGCTGGGCTGGACACTCTGCATCCTTCTTCCTCGTGGAGTCCTGCGTTCAGCACCCTCGGCAGACCTCCTTGCACAGTTTTTCGTTGTCATTGTAGGTGTTTTCTAGTTGCATTGAAGATGGCATTTCTGCTTTCTGTTTCTTGTTCTCTGTGGTTGGTCGGTTTCGAGAGAAATGGCTTAACATTAAATGACTAAACCTATGTTGCATCTATAATATTGGTTTCAGTGAGATGGATAATAACATGAGGACTGTAGCTTGTCTAATTTTCCAGGTGGTTTTCAGGTTATTTGGGAGGGCTAAAGACACTAATATATTCCTTTCTCATGACTATGACCTTGAATAAGCTTTTGTGCTAATTATTGCTTCTTTCTACAGTTGTCCCTCATATTACTGATGCTGTCCAGGAGTGGGTTATGAATCAAGCCATGGTGCCTGTGGACGGTCATAAGGAAGAGCCCCAAATATGTGTTATTGAGGCAAGCATGGAACTTTTCTTTATAGACTTACATCCTTCTGGGTTTTTAAGCATCTGATCTTCACACATTCAACAAATATGTACAGATGGTCTCCTGTATGCTGGACACTGGGCTAGGAGGTGGGATTACAGCAGGGAACGACATAGATGGTCCCTGCCCTTGTGGTCACAGGTCAGTGGGGAAGATTGGTATTAAACAGGGTGAGTACTCCTGGGGTGGGTGTGCAGCAATCTGCATATGGAGACAGATTGGTTGCAGAATGGGTTCTAGCGAGTGCTATTTGAGAAGTATTTACAAAATGCTTTGGAAGTAGAGAGAGACTGAATTAGGGGAGTGTGGTGGTAGAGGTGATTTAGAGATGAGAATCGAGTATTAGCTGTTTAAGGAAAGAACATAGTATTGAACTTGCTACTTGTTCACGGCTTCCATTCCTCTCCAGGTGCAGAATGAGAATAACATCCATATCTTCCTTATAGAAATGTCAGTTGGCCGAATTGCCGGGCAAGACAGCAGAATAATGAATAGTTTTGTTCTTAGAGGCAGACTGCCCAAGTTCACATTTCTGCCGTGACCACCCGAGCAGTGTATAGCTCAGTGGTTAAGAGTCTGAAGCCAGACTGCTTGGGTTCATGGCCCAGCTGGGTCACTTATCAGCTGGACAACCTTGGACTAGTTTGCTTAACTTCTCTGTGCCTCAGTTTACTCATCTGCTAAATGGTGATAGTGTTTTGAGGATTAAATAAGTCAGTACACTCAGTGCTTAGAATGGTGTCAGATCTATAGTAAGTGCTCAAAAATTATTAGCCGTTATTAAGATGTCTGTGTGATTTTTGGCAAAAGGCTTACTTCTCAAAGCTTCAATGTACTCATCTATAACAATATGGTAATAATGTAATATTGTAATAATAACAAGATGATAATAACAGGGTTGTTGTGAGGATTAAGTGTGATGATAAAAAGTGCTTGGCAATATCTGGCATTTAGGAAGTGCTCTATAAATATGTTAGCTGTTATTATTGTCATCATTATCAGTGTTAACAGATGTTATGCTATCCGCCAAGATCCATTTTGTTAATAGTAGAGCTGATAAACTTAGCATAAATGTGCTGTACTATCATATATTAACTTAGATTGTACTACTGTAATAGTATGGCTGATAAACTTAATATAAATGTATAATATAAGTGTGCTATACACAGTTTTCTCTCCCTTGGTATTTCTTCTTTCACAATTTACAAGGGAAGAGGGGATGCTTTCTTTATTATTTTTTTAAATTGGAGTATAACATAAGCACAGAAAAGTGCAGATATCATAGATGTATAGCTTGATGCAAGTTTTATAAACTGAACACACCTGCATGACTAGGCTTGCTTCCTTTAAAAAATAATTAATATCCAATACAATGACTAGTTTGCAAACAAATTGAGGCAATGATAAAGACAAATAAGTGTAAGAAAAGAGAAAGGCAGGTAAAAGCTCCAGGAAGAATCGCATCTGGTGTGAGACTGGAGATGTAACCTGGGGCAGACCTGGGCTCTACAGTGCGGGAGACTTACACGGTCGCTCTATTTATTGATTTTCAGGTTTTAGAATCATTCCCCAAGATGCATCAGAGAAGGCTTAAAAGCAGGGATGTAAATGTCATCAGCTTTGAAAAGAGGAATCGTGAGGTGGAGGGGGTGGAGGAGCGCTGGAGGGGGAAGGAGGGAGATAAGAACCTCATTTTACACTGTGAGGCATCGACAGACACTGTTAGTAGTTGGCAGGAAAAGAAGCAAAAGTATGTCACGTTAGGAAAGTAACCAACAGAACTAAGCATTGAGACTGGGATATGGGGATGGGAGCACCAAAGAGCTGCATCCTCATCTGTCACAGCCCCAAGTCAACTTGCATTCTTTAGAGGGTGTCTGCAACGGGTAAGTCAAGAAAGAGCCCAGCTGGACGGTATTAGAAATATGGAGGTAACTACCAGAATAAACCACTAACAGAGAAGTTAAAGCACTTGCCTTGGGGAATCTGGACGTGGGAGAGGGGAGAGCTGGGGCAGGGGACTCTGGCTTTTTATTGTAAGCTCTTCTGTACAATTTGGTTTTTAACCACGTAGGTGTATTATTTTGATTAAAAAAAAAACACTTATTAATGTCAGCTTGAAGGTGCCATTTCGCAGTTTCAGTATCTTAAAGGTCAGCCCTAGGCTGATTTTCTTCAAGCCCGGCAGAGGGTAGGACAAGCCCTCACGCCTTTGGTTTACGCCGCCTATTTGTTATATAGAGTACTGCGTTGTCCAATACGGTAGCCACTCGTCACATGGGGCTGCTGAGTACGTGAAATGTGCCCCGTCCTAACTGAGATGTGCTGTGAGTTTAAAATACGCACTGGGCTTCAAAGACTTAGTATAAAACAAAAAGAATAATTTTTTAAAAAATTGGTGATATATTGAAATGATAGTATTTTGGATATACTGGGCTACATAAAATACAGTGTTAAAATTAATTTCTCCTGTTTACTTTTTTTTTGGAGGAAGTTTGGCCCTAAGCTAACATCTGTTGCCAATCTTCCTCTTTTTCTTTTTTTTCCCTGAAGCCTCAGTACATAGTTGTGTGTCACAGATGTAGAGTTGTAGCTCCTCTATGTGGGACGCCGCCTCAGCATGGCTTGATGAGCAGTGAGTATGTCTGCGCCCAGGATCCGAACCAGCGAACTCTGGGCCGCCAAAGTGGAACGCGCGAACTTAACCGCTACGCCACCGGGTCGGCCCCTCTCTTGTTTACTTTTACTTTTTAAAATGTGGCAACTAAAATCTTTAAAATTCTCTGTGTAGCTCGCATTATATTTCTAGCGGACAGCACTAGTCTAGCACTTTCACTGGTTTTTGCTGTTCTAGCAACAGGAAAGATAAAGGATCCAAAATGTGTCCATTTTCCCAGAAGAATTGGTCCCTGGCCCAAAAGTAATGACTAATTTTCTAAACTTGAACATGTTTATAACTTTTCCAGTGATTATTTTTTCTTTCTTTTAGTTTTTGTAGGTGAAAGAATAGCCTTTTCTTAAGACTATTAACCTTAATCACAGGAAAAGTTCCATATGGTCGTGTGTATGAATGTTTTTGCCTTTTATTCTCTGATTCTGCTCTTTTATTAAAAAATTACATTTTTAATAATAATAATAATCACAAAAAAAAAGAGAAGGGGGAAATATATTTTTAAAATGTAATTGAGCTGCCCCTGAACGTCATTAAAATATAAGCCCAATTTGACCTTGGGATGAGCCTTCTTAACACTTCTTTTTCATCTTCTCAGCTTTTCTAGCTATTGTTTTTTGAGAATCATCCTTGAACAAAGCTTTTATGTTTCATTCTGGGGCTGGCACACCTGATTCTCTTTGTCATCATTTTAAAAAGAAGTATGCTATAGATTCAGACTCTAATTGTTTTTTTTTTTTAAAGATTTATTTATTTATTTTCCCCCCAAAGCCCCAGTAGATAGTTGTATGTCATAGCTACACATCCTTCTAGTTGCTGTATGTGGGACACGGCCTCAGCATGGCCAGAGAAGCGGTGCATCAGTGCGTGCCCGGGATCCGAACCTGGGCTGCCAGCAGTGGAGCGCGCACACTTAACCACTAAGCCACGGGGCTGGCCCTCAGACTCTAATTGTTGAAGATTCCACTTGCACAGTGAAATCAAGAATTCTCAGTGCCATATCAACAAAGAACACGCAAACATTTTAGGCCTGTACCTGCCATTGTTCTTTTTTTTTTTTCCATGTCTATGTTCTTTATTTTCTCAGTTCTGCTCTTGAACTGACTTCTTTGGCTTAACAAACATTGACTTAGCACTTAGTATGTCCTAGCCCCGATGATAGCTGCTAGGGATACGAGGGTGGATGTGATTGACTCCTGCTCTCCAGGACACATTGCCTCGATTTTTAATTTCATGGAAACAGAGAAACTGTGACAAGTTGTCCCCAGAGAAACCCCTTCTTCTCCATATAACCCTGATGTTTATGTTTGCTTATTGGATCCTAGATCAGGCATCCTTTTGGGTTTGTTTTAAGTTGTGCTCAATATTTGTGTTTGTACATAATTTAAGCTTTCAGAGAAGGACCACCAAAGCTTATTTTTAGTTTTAAGCGTGTAGAAGCTGTTGAAAAATCTCCAAAGCCTTTTTGTGGGTGAGGCCTTGGCTTCTCAGACCGGCGGAGCTGACAAGCCTTATTCATATTACTATAGGTCATCTAAGCATGAACCTGAAATAATTTACACCTGCCTTAAAGGCCTGGCCTTTTTTTTCAAAAAAGAAAACTCCTTTCCTTTTATTTTTATTTAACTTTTTTTCCAGTTTTATGAAGATATAATTGACATATAACATTGTATTAGTCTTAGGTGTACAACATAATGATTGTATATATGTATATATTGTGAAATGATAATACCACAGTAAATTCGGTCAACATCCATCACCTCACATAGTTACAATTTTTTTCTCATGATGAGAACTTTTAAGATTTACTCTCTTAGCAACTTTCAGATAAAGACTCTTTTCCTTTAAAGGCAAAATGGACATTGCACATCTCATACATTTGCTGCTGCTTCAATTTCAGCTTTGGATAGATCTTAAAATATTGTTGTGGGTGATATTTTCCCTGTTGTGCTGGGAAATAGTTAACTTAGGCCTATTCCAGTAATAACACTGAGAGTTTCTAATCACATTGATGGTAATGAGGAGCCAGAGGAGCACTAGCGGGACCTTCCAAATTGGCAGAGAGAATGCAGTACCACTGTCGGCCATATGAGGGCAGAAGCAGATAATGTTGAAAGTTTTTGCCTACTTTTTCGGATTCACTCTTGACTCCCAGAGTACCTCTATCAAAAAACGGATGTCCTTGTACAGTTTCGTATCAGTGCAGACCTTTTTTTCCTAAAATTTTTTTTCCCCATCAGATCCTGGTGCACTGTAGTTAGTGAGCACTTACATCCCTCACCCCCTGCCAGTTTCCTTTCCTGATTGCATGTGATATTTCTTGGATTTTCATAATTAAATTTGTCATTCTCTTACAGAGCGATCATATATTTATATCTGTTCCATACCCAGGAAACTTGAATTTTAATTATGTTTTGTTATCTGAGTTAAAGTTACTAAAGAATAATTTCTTCTGTAGCAAAGTAATCCTGAGACTTCTTAATTTGATTCCATTGTAATTATGGTAACAGGTACTAGAACACTGTTACCTAGAGCTTGTATTGAATTTTTAGACCCTTCTGTCCTATACTGACCACTAACCTAAACTCCCAGTGCTGTGTGAAGGGCTCTGGGCTTGTGCTGGAGATATGGCAGGCACATTCCTGCCCTCATGAGGCTTACAGCCTAGTGGTGTAGAGAGACAGGAAACAGGGACTCAAATAAAATGATGACATCTCGTGCTGAGTTACCAGGAAGGGCACAGATGGGATGCTGTGATAGTGAGCAGCGGGAGCAAGGCTGCTTTAGGTGGGTGGTCAGGGTCGGGCTTTCTGAGAGTGACATAGCTCCCGGGTGAAGGATAAAGAGGAGATAGATGTAGATGAAGAAGGAGGATAGGAGGGCTTAAGGGGCACCAAGGAAGAGCGTGGCCTGTCTGAGGACCTGAAAGGCCAGTGGGGCTGAAGCAGAGAGAGCAGGAGGTGGGGGGCATAGGAGTAGAGGGATGGAAAGGTGGGAGTGGGGCATGAGATGAGAGTGCAAGGGCCAGATCATGTAGGGCCTTTTATTGGCTGCATAAAGGAGTTTCGATTTTATTTCTAGTGAAGCAGTGAGCCACTAAAGGGTATAAGCACTGGAGAGACATACTCTGAGTTTTTATAAGGTCACTCTGCTGGTGTGTGACAAATGGTTTGACTGTAGGACAGCAGAGGGTGGAAGCTGAGAGGCCATTTAGATGGGGGTCAGTCAACTTTTTCTGTAAAGGGCCAGAGAGTAAATATGTTTGGCTTTGCGGGTCAGAGAGTCCCTGTCACAACTACTCAACTCTGCCATTGTCGAGTGAAAGCAGCCACAGGCAATCTGTAAACGAATGGGCAGAGCTGTGTGCTGGTAAACCATTGTAAATAAAAACAGGCAGCAAGCCATAATTTGCCACCCCCTGGTTTAGATTACTGCAATAATCCTGGCAAAAGATGGTGTTGGCTTGAGTGTCTAGAGTGGTAGCAGTGGAGATAGAGAGCAGTGGAGAGATTTCCAAGAGGTTTTGGAGGTATGACCCATTGGACTGGGTTGGGTGAGGAAAAGGAGGGATCGAGGATGATTTCCAGACCTAGCATGAACCAGCTAGTGGTAAGAGATGCTATTTGCTGAGATGAGGAAGCACCTGGAGAAACAGGCCCAGGGGTGGGGGGACCAGGAGTTTAGTTTGGGCCATGGTAAGTTTGAGTAATTGTTGAGCCATCCGAGGTTTCAAGGGCAAGTTGGCTCCAAAGCCCAATGGCACTGGGAAGAGAGGTCAGGGCTCAGGGTAGATTTCAGACTTGGTCGGGTAGCTGAAGTCAGAGAAGATGGTGAATTCTGGGACTGGGCCCACCGTGATCTCTTCCTCCTCCACATCCAGATCATTCCACTTAGTGCTTAACTTTTACTCTTGATTATTTTCTTTAGCTCTGCCTTATTTTCCTCGCTAAATTCTGAGCTCCTTAGGAGTATGTTGTCTTAAATTCTTCCCAGCACCTCGTTTATCGTGTTGAGCATGTAGTAGATGCTCGAATGCTAGAGAATTAATTTTTAAATCCATGTGATAGTCTTTAAATATTTAAATATGCTGAGGAGGAATGGATGAAGGTGAATTTTATCCTAGTCTAAAGTAACATGCTATAGTAACTTTATTGGAAGCACACTGTAAATCAAGTTAACATGTATTGAAGGATTACACCGTCAGGAATATTCTCGGGGCTTTTGGTACTACTCGTTTCAGAAAGCTAGCATGTTTTAATAGTAGCGATTTAATTCCAGTAGTACCACCATTGCGAGGAGACTGTTCAGATGCATGCAGGGGTGTATGTGTGTGTGTGTGTGTGTGTTCATGGAAAGAGGGAGAGAGAGAGAATGCTCACTATTTCTCACGAGGCAAGGCCGGGTGGCTCTCACCTTTCACATATTGACACTAGACTTGAATTCTACCTTCCAGCTGGACCACTGGTAGAAACTGGCTGATCTCACTCCTCTGTGGCCTGTATTCTGGGTCTTTCTATCTGCTTGTGAATTCCCTTCTCTTTTCTTAAATCCCTCCATTTTTTTTTAAAAAAAAAAACACATTTTCAATCTTGATGAGATGAAAGGTTGACAGCCCTATAATGATCCCCCATTTTTTGGAGGGAGTATTTACTAGTCTGTAAAATCCAAGTGAATCAGTGATATATTTGTTTAACTTAGTCCCTATCTCCACACAAGCAGAGTGATCTTATAAACACAGGAATCAGATCATTCTTAAAGCCCTCCTTGACTTTGCTTTCTCCTCCCTTCTTAATGCTCTGCTTACTCTCTTAACTGTTTTCCTGGCTATGTAATACTCCATCCCTTTCTTTGTATTTTACTTTCTAGTCTCCATTTTCTCTTCCCTTTGTTTCATCTCCCTCTTAAAAATGCTTTTCTTTTTTCTTTTCTCGTGAGGAAGATTAGCCCTGAGCTAACATCTGTTGCCAGTCTTCCTCTTTTTGCTGAGAAATATTGGCCCTGAGCTAACTTCTGTGCCCATCTTCCTCTACTTTATATGTGGGACGCCTGCCACAGCATGGCTTGATGAGTGGTGCATAGGTCTGTGCCCGGGATGCAAACCTACGAACCCCAAGCTGCCGAAGCAGAGCGCGTGAACTCTACTACGCCACCGGACCAGCCCTTCTTTTTCATTTTTAACAGCTTTAGTGAGGTTTAAATTGTATATATAATAAATTTCACCAATAAATTTCACCTGTTTTAAGTGTACAAGTCAGTGATTTTTAGTATATTTACAAACTTCTTCTGCAACCATCAAACTTCAGTTCTTATGCTTAGTTTATTAAGAATTTTTCTATCCGTCTGTGTACCATGGAAGATCACATGTGTCTTTTTTTTCCATTTTCAGCTGGGTGGCACCATTGGAGACATTGAAGGAATGCCATTTGTGGAAGCATTCAGACAATTCCAGTTTAAAGCAAAAAGAGAGAATTTCTGTAATATCCATGTTAGCCTTGTCCCACAGGTGAGCTTTCCAGATAGGTATGTAGACAGCAACTTCTGTAAGTCTTCCTATTATTTTCTATTTATTCTACATTTTCAACTAGGGAGCCATTCTCCAGAAGAGCTAGATGTCCAGTGTACTGACAGTGACCCATTGCTTTTCAGCCCAGTGCTACTGGAGAACAAAAAACCAAACCCACACAAAACAGTGTCCGTGCGCTGAGGGGGTTAGGCCTGTCTCCAGATCTGGTGAGTTAAGGAGAGTGGGTGAGTTTCTTGGAATAGGACCTCCATTTCTTAATCTATAATATCATCTTAGTCCTTTCTAGCTCTCAAATGGTTCCTAGGACGCTGAGCATTTTGTGTCTGGGAGCCAGGGGAGGCTTATTCCCTCATCCTCAGGTGTTGCTTCCCACATTTCTAAATTGGCCATCTGTTCTTCTCTAGGCCCTCATTTGATTGGCCACAGTGACAGCTGGGCAAGTGCAATGTCCCGTCATTTGTATGGTCCCTGGGTCCTTTAGAGTGAGGTGGGACCTTGGAGATTTTCCTGTGACCGTGCTAAATGGGCTGTCACTGCTCTTATTTATAGCAGGGAATCCAGTATCGCCAGTAGTCTAGATCAGGGGTTGGCAAATAAAGGCCTGCAGGCTTGCTGCCTGTAAATAAAGTTTTATTGGAACATCTATTATTTACATTTGTCTATAGCTGCGTTTGCACTGCAGTGGTGCAATTAAGTAGTCGAGACAGTGACTGCATGACCTGCAGAACCTAAAATTTTTACCAGCTGGCCCTTTAGAGAAAAACTTTGCCAACCTGTGGTCTCGCTCTGATCTTGTATTTTTAAAGAAGACACGTTTGTGAGCCTTGACTCTATTCACGAGAGGTACCTTGACATTTTGAGTTCTTACTGGTCGATTTGTGTTGAGTGTGGTTCTACTTGCTTATATTAGTGCTCAGACCCATTTCTAATCGTCCAGTGCAACGCCCAGAATGAACAAGCCCATACTTGGTCAAGTCTCTTGTAGCAAAAAGAAATTAAAATAGCATCCTCCTGAAAACGAATGGCAGTGTGAACAGCCTAATTCCTGCTTTCTGACCTGTACATAACTGACTCTAACAGATTGTCTGCCGAAGTTCAACGCCCATCGAAATGGCTGTGAAGGAAAAGATTTCTATGTTTTGTCACGTGAACCCTGAACAGGTTAGTGCTGCTCTTTAGAGTTTATTACCTTGCAGGCACTTCTGCTGATGCCAACGTTTTGCACCTCTTAAATGATCGTATTACTTTTCATGGCATTTATGAAAGCTTTGGGAGATTCATATCCAACCATGGCTCCCTTGCCCTTAAGTGAACAGTCTGGAGACTCCTGATTCCTTAGATTGATTGCATGTTGCTTTGCATAATCACTCTTTAAGTTATAGATATAGAACCAGGTGGACTTTTTAACTTACAGTCAAGCCTCTAGAGAGAGAACCAAGTGAAGCCTGCTTATCGTCTCTTTAGCTTGTCTTCCGGGACACTTACTGCTTTCACTGCCATTTCTCCTTTGTACGTGTTACAGCTTCACTCACCCCAGACCACACATTCCGTTGACATTCACACTATCACTTCTGATTACATCAGTGGCCTCAGGTCAATTCATCATTACAGAAACTGTACTGTGATTTGGGCTCAGGTCCTCTGTCCACCTGGGAATCTGAGAGCCAGCTTTTCTTTTTTCTGCAGAAACCTTTTGTTTTCTTTAGATTGGCTCTGGGTTCTCTGAAGCCTAAAAACCATCTAATCGGATTTCCGTGTCTCAGGAGGCAGTCTGATGCAGAGCCTCCGGCCTGATGCCTCAGGGTGGGTGCACAAGTCTGAACCACTTCACAAAATGTGATGGGAGGTTTAAAGGACTCTCCTGTATTTGTATGTCGTCAAGCCATTTTGATTTTGTTCACTTGTTTTTTGTACCCTTCCTATTGGTAAATAGTACTTTGTGTGGGTATTAAACAAATATAACCCAGTTTCTGAAATAGAAGGAAACAGCTTTTAGAGTTGGGTTGCTGAGAGCTCTGCAAACAGAAGATATAGTCCAAACTTTTGATCATATAGAGTCTATTTTCTATATAACTATAGATTCTGAAGAATGCTCTATCCTATCAGTCCACAGGCTAGTTTATTAGCCATTTTTCAGCACATCATTTTTGCTCATGTGAGGTAATGCTCCCATTTCTTAGTTCCTGGTAAACTTGCATTTAAAGCTCCTCTCCTCTGGATTGCTGAGGAAGGGATGGAGGGTCGGAGGTGTCTCTGTGGATGTGGTCTGTTACCATGCTATTTTAAAAAATATCTCTCCGGCCTGGAGTATAAATAAGTAAATAGTTCCATACTCCATGTCTTCCACTGTGAGAGTTGTGACTCTCCAGAGATTTAGTTTTAATTAGTAATTGGGACACAGCCTCAATTCAGTGACATCTCGGCCCTTTGAATTGCACTGCTGAATGCACAAGTGAGAAATGATAGTCTTAAGTAGCAAGTTGGTGGTGTCCAAACGGCTTAGGAACCCTTGGTTGGATAGCTATGGATTTGGGAAGACTAAACACATAGAGTTGGCAGAACATTTCTTGGCATTTACTTAGGATGTGGCAGATCCTTAAATGCCTGCCAGTAGCCCCTTGCATGTGCTTAAGAGGGTGGTGAAAGCTCGTTAGAATAAGTGTGAAAAACAACCACACCACCTGGTGTTTAAAGGAGCCTGGCTCCTCTCACAGGTGCAATTAATTTGATTATGTTCAATGTGTGCTTGTAAATTTACCCAAATGAAAGGAGCAGACAAAAGCAACTACAGCAGCAGCAACAACAACAAATGAATGAATAAGCAAACTGCATACCCACACTTAGAAGACAAGGTGTGTGTATTCAATGCTACTGCTTTAACCTAGACTTAGAAGGTGGTGCCTTGGGCCATGTGTCTTGGATATTGACATATAAGGCATCCATGTTCCAGCACCAATTCTCTGACACCAGCTGGGAGTCCTGCACTTCAGCTTGGACACTAACTAGCTGGAATGAGCGTCAGACTCCACAGGTTTAAGGGCTTAGTCCTTTATAGGACTGCCCCCCACTTCAGATACCAGCCACAAGTTTCCAGTGTCCCCAAGCTACCCACACTTCTGCCTGGCTGACTACAAATTTGGGGCTTCCCATCACCCCCTCAGTTTCGATAATTCTCTGGAACAACTCACAGAACTCAGGAAAGTGCTATATTTGTGATTACTTTTTATTACAAAGGATGCAAATGAACAGCCATATGAAGAGATACATAAGGCAAGGTCTAGGAGAGTCCTGAGTGCAAGAGCTTGAGTCCCTGTGGAGTCAGGGTGCACTGCCCTCCTGGCACGTCTGTATATTCACCAACCAGGATGCTCCCCCAAGTCTCAATGTCCAGAGTGTTTATTGGGGTTTCATTAAGTAGGTATGATTGAGTAAATCATTGGTCCCACGATTGAACTCAATCTCTAGCCCCCATCCCCTCCCCAGAGGTCAGGTGGCTGACAGTTCCAGCCCTCTAATGACTTGGTTGGTTTTTCTGGTGACCAGTTCCCATCTTGAAGCCATCTAGGGGCTACCCTGAGTCACCTCATTAGCATAATAAAGATAGTCCTGTCACTCGGGAAATTCGAAAGGATTTTGAAGCTCTGTGCCAGGAACTAGGAACAAAGACCATATATATGTATATTTTTATTCTACCACAGCATCCATGGTTCTGGAGGTACGATAATGAATTCAGAGTGTTTTGTAATTAGATCAAACTATCTTGTGTTAATTCTGACTCTTATTAAGGTTGCTGGGTTCTTGATTTTCTTCTCTCAGTGTAAATGAACTGCCAGTCTCTCTTGAGTTTTGGCTCATCCTTGAGCTCATTCTTGTGGCATATTTGAGTCATTCCACTTAAATATGTGTTTTATCATCATCAATCAGGTCATATGTATCCATGATGTTTCTTCCACATACCGAGTGCCTGTGCTTTTGGAGGAACAAGGCATTGTTAAGTATTTTAAGGAGAGATTGGATCTGCCCATTGGTGATTCTGCAAGTCATTTGCTTTTCAAGTGGAGAAATATGGCTGACAGGTACGTGAAAGGAATTACTAATGTAATCTTTAATAATTCTTGGGTTTGGGGGTAGGACTGAGATGTACCTTAAAGGGTATGTATTTAGCATTCAGCTTTCTGTATGTGTGTGTTTGGGTCGGAATGTATCTAAAGCTTTGGCACAGTGGTAGAGTGTTTTGCTGTATTTTTTGAAGATTTCTGAGATTTTGATTTTGCTCTGCTTAAACCAAAGTGAATTGAAGAAATTTAGAATCCAGATGATTTTTTTTTTTAAATTCTGGAGGCATTTTGATCTATTTATTAGTTTATTTCTTAGTTTCTGAATATTTTAAGTAGTTTTAATGTCACAAGGTTTTTTTTTTTTTTTTTTGCTTGTTTTTAAGATTTGGCTAACATTTCCCAAAGAAAATCCTTTTGAATGGAAAGTTTTGGCTTTATTATTGTTGTTCCAGCCTGCAGTTATTAACTATCAGAATCGTTATGAAAACCCCTGATAGGTTTTATTCTATATTTTATTTTTTTGTGAGGAAGATCAGCCCTGAGCTAACATCCATGCCAATCCTCCTCTTTTTGCTGAGGAAGACTGGCCCTTGGCTAACATCTGTGCCCATCTTCCTCTACTTTATATGGGATGCCGCCACAGCATGGCCTGACAAGCCGTGCATTGATGCGTGCCCGGGATCCGAACCCGGGCCGCCAGCAGCGGAGCACGCACTTGACCCCTATGCCACAGGGCCAACCCCCCCCCCCATAGGTTTTAGCTTTAAGACAATCATATTAATTTCAGCAGGGTTTGTTTAATTTGAATTCATTAGCAAATTCAATCGCCATCATCTGTTTTCTTTTACTAAATATAGATGAGGTGTGACTCCATAAAGTCCTGACTGCCCAGCTTCTGTGCAGCTTAGGCAGAGGCAGTGGGGCAGCATTACAAAGGTGGGTTCTGGTGTTGCTAAGGAGCAGATCTTAAAAGTTCTCATCACAAGAAAAAAAATTGTAACATTAAGCAGTGATGGATGTTAAGTAGACTCATTGTGGTGATTATTTGGTAATGTACACATATATTGAGTCATTATGTTCTACACCTGAAACTAATATAATGTTATAGTCAATTATATCTCAATAAAAAAACCCGTAAGCTCAGGCGTCAGTCACCGTGGATTCAGACCCCAGCTCTCCCTCTTACTAGCTGTGTGAATTTGGGCAGATTACTTAACCTCTCGGGCTTGTTCTCCCATCCATAACAGTCACTTTGTAGGAATTTTCTGAGTAGCTTAGGGCTGACCCTTTTTAAGCACTACAAATTTTAATATTTTAACTCTTTTTATTGAAAATAGTTCTAAATTATACTCTATGCCTCTGTGCTTTTTTTTTTTTGATAGTGGCTATTTTTGCATAGCAACATGAATTTATTTAATGCCGATGATGGTACACTTAAAATGATTAAAATGGTAAATTTTATATTATGCATATTTCACTATAATTTTTTTTATTGATGTTTTAATAGTTTTTAACATTGTGAAATTTTGGGTTGTACATTTTTGTTTGTCCATCACCATGTGTATGTCTCCCTTCACCCCTGTGCCCACCCCCTACCCCCCTTGCCCCTGGTAACCACAATACAGTTTTCTCTGTCCATGTGTTGGTTTATATTCCACATATGAGTGAGATCATACAGTGTTTGTCTTTCTCTTTCTGGCTTATTTCACTTAACACAATACCCTCCAGTCCCATCCATGTTGTTGCAAATGGGACGATTTTGTCTTTTTTATGGCTGAGTAGTGTTCCATTGTGTATATATACCACAGCTTCTTGATCCAATCATCAGTCGAGGGACATTTAGGTTGCTTCCACTTCTTGGCTATAGTGAATAATGCTGCAATGAACATAGGGGTGCATAAGCCTGTTTGGATTGTTGATTTCAGGTTTGTTGGATAGATTCCCAGTAGTGGGATAGCTGGATCATAGGGTATTTCTATTTTTAATTCTTTGGGGAATCTCCATACTGTTTTCCATAGAGACTGTACCAGTTTGCATTCCCACCAGCTGTGTATGAAGGTTCCTGTTTCTCCACATCCTCTCCAACATTTGTTGTTTTTTGTCTTGGTGATTATAGCCATTCTAACGGGCATGAGGTGATATCTTAGTGTTGTTTTGATTTGCATTTCCCTGATGATTAGTGATGTTGAACATCTTTTCATGTGCCTATTGGCCATCTGTATATCTTCTTTGGAGAAGTGTCTGTTCATTTCCTCTGTCCATTTTTTGATCGGGTTGTTTGTTTTTTTGTTGTTATGCCTCTGTGCTTTTTAAAGCCAGTGTTTGGTCTTCATATTAGTTTCCTGTGGCTGCTGTAACAAGTCACCACAAACAGATGGCTTGAAACAATGGAAGTTTGTTCTCTCACAGTTGTGGAGGTCAGAAGTCCAAAATCAAGGCATCAGCAGGGTTGGTTCCTTCTGGAGGCTCTGAGGGAGAAACCATTCCATGCGTCTCTCCTAGCTTCTGGGGGCTGCTGGCGATCCTTGGTGTTCCTTGGCTTGTGGCCGCGTCGCTCCAGTCTCTGCCTCTGTCATCGCACGGCTTTCTCTGTGTCTTCTCTCCTTCTCTTCTTTTATAAGGATGCTTGTCTTAAGGTTTAGGGCCCGCTCTAATCCAGGATGATCTTATCCCGAGGTCCTTAATTTAATTGCACCCACAAAGACCCTTTTTCTAGAGATGGTCACATTCATAGGTTCTGGGGGACATATGTTTTTGGAGGGCCACCATTCAGCTCACCACAGTCTTCAAGCAAAGGGAATTTTTTTTTTTTTTTTTTGTTTTGCAAATACTCTTTATTTATTTATTTATTTATTATTATTATTTTTTAATTTTTTGTTTATTGCAGTAACATTGGTTTATAACATTGTAAAAGTTTCAGGTGTACATCATTGTACTTCTATTTCTGCATAGATTACATCATGTTCACCGCCAAAATACTAATTACAACCCATCACCACACACATGTACCAAATTATCCCTTTCACCCTCCTCCCTCCCCCCTTCCCCTCTGGTAACCACCAATCCAATCTCTGTCCCTATGTGTTTGTTTATTGTTGTTATTATCTACTACTTAATGAAGGAAATCATACGGTATTTGACCTTCTCCCTCTGACTTATTTCACTTTGCATTATACCCTCAATGTCCATCCATGTTGTCACAAATGGCTGGATTTCATCGTTTCTTATGGCTGAGTAGTATTCCATTGTGTATATACACCACAGCTTCTTTATCCATTCGTCCCTTGATGGGCACTTAGGTTGCTTCCAAGTCTTGGCTATTGTGAATAACGCTGCAATGAACACAGGGGTGCATGTACCTTTGCAAATTGGTGTTTTCAAGTTCTTTGGATAAATACCCAACAGTGGAATAGCTGGATCATATGGTAGTTCTATCCTTGATTTTTTGAGGAATCTCCATACTGTTTTCCATAGTGGCTGGACCAGTTTGCACTCCCACCAGCAGTGTATGAGAGTTCAAGCAAAGGGAATATTGAGCGTCAGTCCCTCTGTATCACGTTGGCTGTGATGTTGGTTCGTTGGTGATGGTGGTCTGGAGTGTCCATTCTTTAGGCCCTGTCCCCTCAGTACAGCCTGTAGAGAGATACAAGGGAGGCAAACAGAGGTCAAAGAGCAGCCTTGATCATGGAGATCCAGTGCTGCTCAGAGGCCAGGCTTCCCTGGTTAAACTGGATGGGAGAGCTCACCTGGGACCTAAGGCCAAAGTGGGGACAACCTTGCCTGTCTGGGGACCTGCCTGTGGGGGGATGGGCCTGCAAAGCAGACTCCTCATCTGCCTCCCACCAGTAGCTCACAGCAGTGTTAGCGGCCTGCCTCACACCCAATTGATGGCTGAATGGAGAGCCCAAGGGAGACGCTTGGCTGGTCTGGGCAGTGTTCCATGAGCCTAGCCCGCAGGTCCGAGAGGGAAAGAGAGCACAAGGTGAGTGGGCTCAGGATATCTTTCTGGGTGGCAGCTCTCTTCCCTGGTCAGTGTGACCCAGTGGACTCACCTGTCCCACCCGGCTGCTGAGCAACTCCTCTTCCCCTGGGAAGACCAGACATGAGTGAGCGGAAGAGGGAACTGGCGATGTTGACTCGAATCCTGCTTCCTTCCTGAGAGCAGAGCCGATGTCCCTTCATCAATGGAGGAGTGAGATTGGGGGTGAGGGCTCAGCCAAGTTGCTATGCTCAAATGGCGTTGTGATCACCAGTTCCCTTGGGTCAAACCCGGGGACAGGAAGCACTGACCTCTGATGTTGTCTTGGAATCTTGGCTCGATACCAAGTTGCTTTGTTACTTGCGTCCTTTGTGTAGCGCTGGGGTGAAGCGCGGGCAACCACGCAATCTCCAGAGCAACATAAAAGTAAGTAGCAAGTTAAAGGCTTAGCAGCCTTCTCTCAGGTTCTTTAGTCACTTTCCTGGAAAGTCACCTTTACTGTCAGTTTTGACTTCTTAGCTTCTTGTGCATTTTTCTCATCCCAGCCTGTTTGCAATCACATTTCTCTTGCACTCTTCACAGATGTTGATATGAAAGAGGAATATTCCTTATCACGGTAACATTTTTGTTCTAAGGTGTTTGGGGAAGGGTTGGTTCAAAGCCCTAAAACATCTTCAGCCCCAAGATGACATTTCCATATACTTAGTACAAGACCAGACATTTTTCATGTTCTTTGAACAGATTTCCTGACAAAAGCAACAGTAAAGATTGGGTCTCTAATGGTAAAATGTGATTGAGCGTCTTATGTAGAATGGAATTTTCTCATAAAAGTGATCTAAATCGCTTGTAATATTTTAAATAGTTCTCTTAGTATCATTCTTCAGGCATGCAATGAATAACCTGCCTTTTGAGGACCAGCTGAGAATGTAATAATTTTTAATGTAGACACTTTGAATACATTTTCTTATATAATGTCACCTTACAAAGTTAATATTGAAATGTTTCCTATTGACACTCAGAATGCTTTTTCTTATACAATGTCACCTTATAAATGAATTTAAGGACAGCTCATGTTTATGAGATGGGGACAGCTTTTTTATTTTTTATTTGTAATGCTTTTAACTTTTTCTCTGATATATTCTCCTCGGATGTATATCTGTGCCTGCTTATGCAAGCCAGTTTCGGATTTATTATGATTTTGAAATCTGTTGGTGTACAGATTTTCATTCTTTGGGGGTGGGGTATGGATTTCAGTCAAGTACATCAAATTTGAGGCTAGTCTGCTCCTAAGGTTTTAAAAAGTGCCTTGGGATAAGAACAGTGGTTGTCATAGTGTTTGTGATGTTATGTTGCATGCATATAACCTTTAAGCTTGTCTTCCCAGGTATGAAAGGTTACAGAAAACATGCTCCATAGCCCTGGTTGGCAAATACACCAAGCTCAGGGACTGCTACGCCTCCGTGTTCAAAGCCCTGGAACACTCAGCCTTGGCCATCAACCACAAGTTGAATCTGATGGTGAGCCCCGGCCTGGTCTTCCACGTATTTCAGTCATTTACTCTGATATCTCGTGGTTCAGAGAGGCAGCTTGTATTGAAGGCTCCCCAAGATCACCTCCAGGATTGACAATGATTCGCCAGGAGGACTCACAGCATATCGTCAGATTTATGGCTAAGATGTATTACAGTGAAAGGATAGAGAGCAAAATGAGCAAAGAATGTAGTCTGGGGGAACCCAGGCGCAAGCTTCCAGGGTCCTTCCTAAGTGGAGTCACACAGGTTGAGCTTAATTCCCCCAGCAACGAGCTGTGACAACACATGTGAAGTGCTGTCTCCCAGGGAAGCTTGTTAGAGACTCAGTGCCCTGGGTTTTTATTGGGAGCTGGTCACATTGGCACCCTCTGCCTACCGAGTACCAAAATTCTGGACTCCCAGAAGGAAAGCAGGTGTTCAGCATAAATCATGTTGGTTCTACAAATACTGTAGGCACAGTGAGCCACTCTTACCATTTCTGGGAATGGTGAGAACCCTCCCCAAATCCAAGTTTCCAGATGCCAGCCAAGGGCCAACCTTGTAAGCAGGCCTTTCCAAGGACAGCAGTCAAGCCTGTCGTGCTAAGTTTTTTCTGCATACAGGTTTAAGGCACAATCTCTGAAATTAGGCTTTGCACATCCGGGGCATATGTACTTCATGCTCATTTAAGTACATTGTATTTGCCTAACAAGAAAATGATAGAACTTTTTTCCCCTTTAGCATTAGAATTGAATCCACATTTAAAAAATGCTATATATATATATATATATATTTATTTATTTATTCCCCTTTCTAACTTGGAGGACTGATATCTGGCAAACAGTGGTTATTTGTTTTTTAAAATCAATATTATGGGATAGCAGAGGTGGAATTATCATATCTAGCTGGAGTATATTCTTTGTCTTTGTTAAAATAGAAGTAGTACATGCTCAGTGTAGAAAATTTAAGCAAAGCATAATGTAAGCTGCAAAAAGTGAAAGATTCTTCCTCCCTGAAATCCCACTTCTCTGTTGTACCTGTCGTTCCCAGTTTGATGCATATCTTTCTAGACTTTTCTCTCTCTCTATGTGAACGTTTAATGATATTCTGTCTGGATATATCATAGTTTAAGCAAGCCTTATTATCTTGATTTAAATGGTAAAACCTTTATATACTGAGCAAAAAGATACACTTATATGTTCAAGAAATGTAGTAACTTCTACTTAGACACCAGCGTAGGGCCTATCCGACTTTTCTCTCACCTCTTTGTAGCCTGTTTCTTTTCTAATCACTTTTTATTTTTGGCTTTCTGAGGAATATTTCACTTCCGGTTCTTCCCACCCAGCCAAGTCCCCTTGTAGAAAAAAGAAAACTAGAAAAATTGTTATAATACAAATTTTATAAAGCCTTTAAAATTTTGTATCTTAAGATATATTCAGATAGTAATTTTTACAAAAGAAATACTAAAATAATATAGCTATATAGGGACTGTTATGTACATAGGAATTGTACATGATTTTTCATTTAATAGGGTTCATTGACATTAGCTTCTGATTTTTCATTTAATACATGATTTTTCGTTTAATAGAATTCATTGACATTAGCTTCTGCTAAGTACTATTTGAATCACGGTCTTGTCATATTCTTTTTAGACAAGTTTGCTGCTGTGTTTATCTCACCTGGCTTATTGCAGCAACTTCCTGACTGGTTTCCAGTCTTCCCTCCATTTCCCACACTGTACCAGAGTGATCTTTCTAGAATCCCTCTCTGTTCTCTCTTTTCCTATTGTTCCCTTACTTAAGACCTTTCAGTGGCTTCAACTGGAAACTTATCCTCTCACTGGGTGGAGCCTCATTTGAGGGCCCCAGAGTGGCCACCACTTTCTGTCTTTCCTCTGAGGTTTCATACAAACTGTTCCTTCGCCTCCTCCACTCCCTTTGTCTCCTGCACACCTTCCCCCCTGTCTGCCAACATGCACACACATGCTTATCTTGCTTCTGCTCCTCCTCGAGGGCTGAGCCTCTTGGACATCACGTCCTCAGAGATCTTCCCTGTTGGCACTCCTTCCCTTCTTTCCTGCTGTGTCCAGCTCTAGGTTAGGTGTGGCTCCTGGTTACTTCCGCAGCATTCTCTTCTTGGCCCATCATAGCTGTTGTCACACTATGGTGTGGATGCCTGGTTATTTGGTTTCGTAATCTTCCTGAAAGGTTCTAAGAGCCACAGGACAGAAATCATGCTTTTCTGTCCTAAGTGACCAGTACAGTGTTTGCATAATAAGTAGTTATTGAATAATTGTGTCATAGTGCTAGACAGCTCTAGTATTTTCCAGTATTTATTTTTCTTAAATGTTCGTTTAATCTGTTGGATGTTTTTTAGTACATAGACTCCATTGATCTGGAGCAGAGCACTGAAACTGAGGACCCTGTGAAATTCCATGAAGCTTGGCAGAAGCTATGCAAAGCTGAGTGAGTCCTGAGGACCATCCATACCAGTTAGAAGAACACGATTGTGCTTTTTCCATAATGATCCAATTTACCCCAATTACTAATTTTTGTTCATTGTGAAAGGTAGTTTGGATTACTTATGGCCATTGTGAGTGGTTGTGCCGCATTCACACTGCCTTTACTTTATAATGTGCCATGTTAATGTTAGTGGAGTGTGCAAGGGAAATGGTTTTATTTTGGGGAGGATGGGGATACCGTATTGTAGAGAAAGTGTGTTGATGCTACTGAAAGATGCAGAGATAGATCTTACATATACAAAGTTAAAGTACAAGAATGACAACCCTTCTTTCTTGGTTTTATTTTCTTTTCCACTTGATTCTAGGTTTTATTTCATAAGTAATTGACAGAACTCTTGGGGGCAGCATTGTATTGTGAGGGTAGCGTGACCCTACCAGTTTTTCTCTTGGACTCCTGTCTTTTTCACATGAGAGTGTTTACATAGAAGGTCTCTAAAGTGTCTCCTAACCAGGAAATGTTCATGTGCCACTACATAATTAGCAATTGAAATCGAAGGCTGATTTTACCAGTTTAACTCTTTCTGATTATGTAAGAGATCTTAACATTTTTATAATAGTGCTTTTAAAAGAACCTTAACCTATTTTTATTCAGATAATTCTCTCAGTGGCATTTTTAATAGAATTGCATTTCTTAGTCACTATGCGCACGTGCCGCAGAGACCTATCAGAAAATATATATTGAGGTCAGTTGTGAGAAATTGTCGCAACTTCTTCATAACATTGGGAGGGTTTCAAGAAGAAAGTTCAGGATGTGAAATCATGTAATCAATTCTGAAAATAGACCCCAAGTGTGTTCTTTAGTGATTGTGCCAAGTGTTCAATTTGAGATCAGTAAGCATGACTGGCTGAAAATAAGAGTTTTAAAAATAAAAATAACGTCAAATTCACCCTCGTCTTGTCTTGATTGCAGTGGTGTTCTTGTGCCAGGAGGCTTCGGAATCAGAGGAACATCAGGAAAACTCCAGGCGATTTCTTGGGCAAGGGCAAAGAAGATTCCTTTTCTGGGTAAAACTCATGTTTATGGATTCTAACTATGAGTTTATTAGGTTTTTGACACGTAGTGGGGGTTACACTTGATAGGATTTGTTAAGATGAAAGGTGTAATCTCAGATTTGAATATTCAGGTGCCAAAGAGTCTGCTATAGGGATCAGCGAAGTACATCCTGCAAACCATACCTGGCTCGTGGTGTTTTTGTAAATAAAGTTTTGTTGGAACACAGCCACACCAATTTGTTTACATATTGTGTATGGCTGCCTTGGCGGTACACTGGCAGAATTTGAGACCCTACAGGTTTAAAAGCCTAAAATCTTTACTATCTGGCCCTTTACTGAAAAATTTGTCGACCTAGGAGAACTTACCACTGTTCTGGTTGGGGAGCAAGAGGCTGGGAGAAGTCGCTGTCCACACCTGCCCTCACCTCCGATTCCCACCCGAATCCGTCTTTTCACCTCTTCAAGCAGAGAAGCGTTCAACAGACGTCCACAGTGTTCTTTCTAATCAGAAAAAAAGAATGTTTAAGTTGAAATTTATGTGCTGCTTCTAGAAAAGATAATACAGAAAGACCATCTAACATTACAGGAACAGCTCTGTTAAAATTTGGTAGAGCTGGGTCTTTTTAATGCTTTTGTTTGATTGCAAAGCATGGCTTCTGGACCAGTGAAACCAGATGAAATGGAACCTTGACAGGCTAAAGGCAGCCCTGCAGTCGGGGATTCAGGCAGGAGGGGGAGTGGGGAGAGGCTGTGTTTCACACTGTGTGTGGATGTACTGGTGGGTTTGTGAACCGAGTGGACAGGCTTCGGTGCCTTTTACTATCAGCAGACTGTTCATATTTCCCATTGCCTGTTCTTTCAATAGCTTCCTAGATGCTCTCCAGTTGGGATCCATTTTCAAAAGAGAAGCCAGGAGTAGTACCTTGATACCTTGCTTTGTTTTACCTGTCTATGCTCATCTGCCGCTGTTTTCTTTTGAAGTAATCTTGTTTGGTTTCTGTCTGAACGTGGTTAGTGTTCTTTAGCTTTCTCTTTACCGCAGCATCTCTTCATGTGCTAGCCATATGGAACTTTCTGAAGTCCCCCTAGACCACTCAGCTGTTTCATGCTTTTTGACTTTTGTTCTGCTGTGCCCAATATATTGATTGCTGTCTCCTTTGAGTCCCTTGCATACCTTGGATATGTCTATAAAAGCATCTGGAGGGCCGGCCCCGTGGCTTAGCGGTTAAGTGCACGTGCTCTGCTGCTGGCGGCCCGGGTTCGGATCCCGGGCGCGCACCGACGCACCGCTTCTCTGGCCATGCTGAGGCCGCATCCCACATACAGCAAGTAGAAGGATGTGCAGCTATGACATACAACTATCTACTGGGGCTTTGGGGGGAAAAATAAATAAATAAATAAAATTATTAAAAAAAAAAAGCATCTGGAATGCTCCTTGGCATTAGTTTAGTGGAGAGAATTGGTGGGCCGCAGTGAATGTGGAGATGGGTGAAGGGCGCATCCGTGTGACAGCAGATCTGAGGCTATGCAGGTCTTTTTTCCTCCTGATCGAGCTCTCTGTTCAGTTCCATTTTGCATCTCCCTTCCCTGCTCTCCACCACACCCAGGCCCACAGTGGAGGTGCCAACTCCCCCAGCTGCTGCTGTTTTCCTACAGTGAGGTGAGGGGGCTGTTCTGGGCTTAGCAGCCTGGCACAGACTTCCCGCTCCACTGCCCGCCTGTAGGCGCTGCTTAGATCCCAGCCAGCTGGCTAGCCTGGGGCTGCCCTCAGGCAAAGCCCATATTTAAGCCTGTGAAACTACCTTGTAAAGAGAGAGTGTGAAGTCCAGCCCACGGAGACTCCCTCTGGAGTTGGAGTGTGTTAGATCTTCTCTGAAGGAATCACGCGCTCTGGGACAGCCCTGCAGCCCACACATACGCCTCGATTTAGAGACAAGTTTGGAAGGAGGCAGATTTGCCTTTTGCACCTTGCTCTGTCCTCTCCTGCCCTTTTCTAACCTCACATTCCTTCTTCATCAACTCCGGGTCATCCAAACCCCTTCCCTGCCTCTGCCACAGGCGTTCTGAGGGCAGAGGGTCCAGCAGCGAACCGGACAGGCAGAGTCTCGCTCTCCCGGAGCCCTCGATGGAGGGGACAGACAGCCAACAAATGAACAGAAAATACGAAGCAATGCAAAATATGTTCATTTGCTTTATCTATGTGCTTCTTGACATAGGAATTTGCCTTGGGATGCAGCTAGCAGTGATAGAGTTTGCAAGAAACTGCCTTAAGTTGAAAGGTAAGTCTGAGATTGGCTAATAACCTTTTATAAAAAAATTCTTATTACTTAAAATATTTTTCAGCAATATTGGTGAATTACTGAACTCGTTTCTTAATCTTTAGATGCTAGTTCCACAGAATTTGAGCCAAATGCCCGTGTTCCTCTGGTAAGTGGCTTGTTTATCTTTCCGGGTTGGGTTATTGTCATTTTGTTTCTGGCTCTTGCCTAAACTCATAAGGGGTGTTTATAATTATTTTTTCATTACCACATCAGGACATTTAAAATTATATATGATTTTATGATTATTATTACTATTATTATTATTTTTACATCAAACTGCTTTGTTCTCAATGGTCCATCTTGTCAGCTGTGCCTTGAAGAAAGACACGATCATGGACTGGCTTTTCTTTGCAGCCATTTTCAAGCTTAATGTTTAGGAAAGGATTAAATTGACTGTGACAACAATTTATAACAACTAATATAAATAAATGGGCTGTCCTGTCTCTGGACTCATCCCCCGTCTGTCTAGTTTCCACATTGTCGGTCATCTGTCTTTCTAAAACAAAAGTGACAACTGTTCTTCTGCTGTTCCTCATCTTCCACTGATTCCTTTTCCCATAAAATATTCAGTCCAAGATTCTTGGCAGGCCGACGTGCTCTGTCACCTGCCGCTTTGCTAATTCATCCCATGGCATCCCTGTCCCTCCATAACAGGGACATAACAGTCCCCCGTGTGCTTGAGGTGTTATGTTTGGACAATCTGAACACATTTTTTGGGTGTATCCTGAGATTCCCTGAGATGTCCCGCTTCCTGCAACCACCCTGGAATCTCCCCTGGAATCTCAATAAAACCAATGAAGAATTTAATTAAAAAAATTAACCAAACCTGATTACTGACAACTTCCTGTTCATCCTGGGAGTCTTTCCTGACCTCCTTTCTTTCCTGCCTCCACCTGATGTGCCTCGCACACACCTCTATCAGAGTACACACCCCACCATTGTGATATTTTTAACAGTTTATTGAGATATAATTCTCATACCATAAAATGTAGCCATTGAAAGTGTGTAATTCATTGACTTAGCATATTGACAGATCTCTGCCACCATCACCACAATCAATTTTGGAGCATTTTGATTACCCCAAAAAGAAACCCCACACCCCTTAGCTGACACCCCCAAGCCTCCTATCTTCCCAGCCCTAGGAAACCATTAATCTGTTCTCTGTCTCTATAGATGTGTGTTTTTTTTAAATTTTATTATTTTATTGAGGTCATAATAGTTCATAACATTGTGAAATTTCAGTTGTACGTTATTATTTGTCAGTCACCATACTTACGTGCCCCTTTACCCCTTTCTCCCACCCCCCAACCCTTTTCCCCTCTGGTAACCACTAATCTGTTCTCTTTGTCCATGTGTTTGTTTATCTTCCACATATGAGTGAAATCATGCAGTATTTGTCTTTCTCTGTCTGGCTAATTTCACTTAACATAATAGCCTCCAGGTCCATCCATGTTGTTGCAAATGGGATGATTTTGTCTTTTTTTATGACTGAGTATTATTTATTGTATATATGTATATACCACATCTTCTTTATCCGTTCCTCAGTTGATGGGCACTTGGGTTGCTTCCACATCTTGGCTATTGTGAATAATGCTGCAATGAACATGGGGGTGTATAAGCCTCTTTGAATTGTTGATTTCAAGTTCTTTGGATAAATACCCATGGTGGGATAGCTGGGTCATATGGTATTTCTATTTTTAATTTTTTTGAGAAATCTTTAGATGTGGTTTTTCTGGACATTTTATATGAATGGAATCATACAATATGTGGCTTTTTGTGACTGTCTTCTTTCACTTAGGATAACATTGTCAAGGTCTGTCTATGTTGTAGCATCTGTCAGTACTTTGTTTCTTTTTATTGCTGAATAATATTCCATTATATGGATATACCACATTTTATTTATCCATTCATCCATCGATGGATATTTGGGTTGTTTCCACTTTTTTGGCTCTTATGAATAATGCTGCTATATACATTCTTGTATAAGTTTTTGTGTGGACATAATGTTTTCATTTCATTTGGGTATATACCTAGGAGTAGAGTTATGGGTCTTATGAGGACTGTATGTTTAACCATTTGAGGAACTGCCAGACTCTTTTCCAAAGTGGCTGCAGCATTTTATATTCCCACCAGCAGTGTATGAGGGTTCCAATTTCTCCACATCCTCAACACTCATTATTGTCTGTCCTTTTGATTATAGCCATCCTAGGAGGTGTGGAGTTGTAGCTCACTGTGGCTTTGATTTGAATTTCCTTGATGTCTAAGGATGTTGAACATCTTTTCATATGCTTATTGGCCACTTGTATATCATCTTTGGAGAACTGTTTATTCAGATCCTTTGCCCACTTTTAAATTGGGTTATTTGTCTTTTTATTGTTAAGTTGTAAGAGTTCTTTATGTATTCTAGATACAAGTTCCTTATTAGATATATAATTAGCACTACTGACATTTGGGCCGGAGCATTTTTTGTTGTAGGGAGGCTGTCCTGTGCACTGTAGGATGTTCAACAGCATCCTTGGCCTCTGTTCACTAGACGTCAGTAGTACAGTCCTCCCAACCCACAATTGTGACAATAAAAGTACCTCCAGACATTGCCAAACATCCCCTGGGGACACAGGCAGAATAGCCCCCATTGAGAACCACTGATTTAGAGAAATCTAGTTCTATTCCTCTCCCCTCCAACCTATTCCCTTCCTTCCCTTATGGCAACCATTAATTCTTTTTTTTTTTTATGGGTTATCTTTCCATTTTTAAAATATAAGTAAACCTGCATGTCTGCTTGTAACCCCTGCCCCTTCTTAGATAAATGGTAGCATACTTTGCGCATGTTTCCTGCTTTGCTTTTTTCACTTCACACTATATGCTGGAGTGGAGAGCACAGCATTGAAGGATAGAGAGATAGTTTTCACTCCGTTTTATGGCTTGCAATTCATACTATAATGAGCCGTAGCTTCCCAGCCAGATGGTAATTTTAAGTCTTATGCTCAGAAGACCTAATATGAGTGAAGAGTTCCTTATAAGGCTTTAATAGAAATGTATTTCCTGACTGATGGCTGAAATGGCTGTGCCTGGCAAACCATGTGTTTTCTTTTTTAAGATAATACTTTGGAGTAGGAAGTGACTTTACCAGTAGGTGCCACTGTTAGATAGCTTTGGCAAGGTTAATTCTTTGATGACTATCCTTTACTGGGTGTGTGAGTGTGTGTGTGTGTGTGTGTGTGTGTGTGTTTAAAACATTTATACACAGGGTAAAAAAGTTAAGCCCTACAGAAAAGGTATAAAACGGCCTTTTCTCTGCCCCTACCTCACCTCTGTTCCCTTCCCCAGAGGTAACTACCTTCATCCATTTCTTTTGTTATTCTTCCAAAGATTGTGTGTGTGTGTGTGTGTGTACACCCACCTACCCACACACATACATGGATACGTGTTCCCTTTTATAAAAATCCATATGTTAGCATGCTTGAGACACTGTTCTCCCTTGTTTTTTGTACCGACTGCTCCACATCAATGCACAGGGATCTCCCATGTGCTTACCCTGCTGTATGCATCATTCTTTATTTAACCAGTCTCATATTGATGAATATTTAGGTTGTGTCCATTATTATGCTACTTTAAATCATGCTGCAAATTAGTATCCGTGTACATATGTCTTTGTACCCACACATACATAATTCTATGGGATGAATTCCTAGAAGGGGAATTGCTAAGTCAGAGGATATGTGCGTTTTACATTTTGATAGCTTCTATTCTCATAAGTGAGATGAGAACAATAAAACCTAATTGCTACTGAACATCTTTATGGCCTGCAATCAGTTTGTTGGAGAAAAATAGCCAGCCTTTGTGACAATGGTAAGAAGTCTTATTAAAGAAAAAGACTAAGGTAATAGAATCACCAGGCAGCAAACACGAGGAAGCCTGGGGAATCACTTAAACTCGAGGAAATAACAATGACTTACAGTGGGTAATGGCCATTCTGGCCCTTCTAGCTAAAAAAGTAAATAATTTGGAAACCAGGAGCCTCTTTTAGGGTATATTTGCTGCTAAAATCTGTTTCATGGGTGTTGGGGAGGGAAAATGATTTTCTCTCTATCCTTCTAGGTTCTTGGCTGAGACTCCACTGTAATAAAAGACAGATTAACAGGAGAAAAACAAACAGAAGTTTAGTAACATCTATACCTCCTGTATACATGGGAGAGACCCAGGAAAACTGAGGAATTCCCTGAAATGGACCAAGTCACCACCTTAAATACCATCTCTAGCTAAAGACAAAAGAAGGTGTTGGCAGGGGCAGTTATGGGAGGTGACCAGGCAAAGCAAGTAAACAAGGTTCAGGTTGTTATGCAGATTTAAGTCCTGCCTTCTCCACTGATAAGAGTTTCTGCAGATTTGGTCATCCTCTTCTTCCTGGTACAGAGAGGGAGACCCCCTTACAAATGGAGAGTTCCTTTATAAATGTAAATGTCTCTTACAAAAGGGTAGGTTTTCAGAGCTTCTCCTTTGTCTGTTGTTTCTTAAAAATAATCAGCTCAAGGGGCTGGCCCCATGGCCTAGTGGTTAAGTTTGGTGCGCCTGGGTTCAATTCCTCAGCGCAGACCTACACCACTTGTGAGTGGCTATGCTGTGGTGGTAACCCATGTACAAAATAGAGGAAGATTGGCGCAGATGTTAGCTTAGGGCAAAACATCCTCAGCAAAAAAAAAAAAAGAAAAGAAAAATCAGCTCAAGGTAATCCTTATGCCAGAGAGACAAATTTTGGGGTGGCAAATTCTGCTCTCCTTCATGGACCATCATGACCCTCCCTTGGCATGCATGATTAATCTTATGGTTGCTTATGAAATCGATAGAGACACTGGCATCCAGGACAGATATCTAAGAGGAGGTGTCACTTATACACATAAAAGGGAGAGAGATTTTTTTCTAAGAGTGAAAGGAGACTCTTTCTGAGTACCAGGAGAGAATGAGTAAAATTTATTTTATTGTGTCATTTCTCTGCTTAATCCACAAGGTGAAATAGAAGGCGTTGGGAATTTGGAGAATATTTAGTGTTCTACAGCAAGTCTGATTTTTTGGCCCGCTTCAAAGTAGTTTTACCTGCTTTCTAGATAA